ATCTCCATAAAAGGGTTGTTTACATCTTACTCGCCAGCTGAACACTCCATTATTTTGCTAGAGGGATGTTTCAAAAAGCATGAAGTGAACTTGTTGAACAAAATCGGGATTTTTTTAACGAATTATTTGATATTTTTTTACGGTTAAGGTATTTATGAATGGGAATAAATATGTGCTCGGTCGGTATTTATCACTCTGTTTAATACCGCTTAGAGTCTGGGTGCTGATAATTACCCTCGCCTCCGGCTCGGGTGCTGATAATTACCCTCGCCTCCGGCTCGGGTAATTATCAGCACCCAGACTCTAAGCGGTATTAAACGAGTGATAAAAACCTCCGGAGCACATATTTATTCCCTTATTAACAAATGTTGCAATGCAAACTTGATGAGTCATATTTTATAAATTTGTAAATTTATAGAATTGAATAAGGAAATTTGGCCAAAAAATGCAGTAATTTAAAACAAATGAGATGTAGGCCTATTGTGAGAGTTTTGTAAAGTACCAGTACCAGTACATATGGGACATATGTACATGAATTAGAAATGGTTACCAGTTGACCTCGCATCGCAAGAGCCATTTGCTGTATCCTTTTTACAGCTCCATGCTGTAATGGAAGGAGAGGGATGATGATACTTACTATTGTATCTACAAATGTACATGTACATGTACATAAATGTACGTACCGGTACATGGAATAGACATTGATGGACGGGTACCGGTACCAAATGTTCAGATTGTATCAGATGCACATTTACATGTATGTCAACCCTTGAAAGAATAGTACCGCACATGTAAAAGTACACCAAAGTGCTAACCAGCTACATACATGTACATATATGTCATGTTTGGCTGGAGAATTAGGTCACCACTTTGAAGGTTTAATCCTTCTGAGCATGCTGAGCCGTGGGTTTTCCCTAGACTATCATTCGGGGGTTTTCCTCCCACCACTAAAACTGTCATTTCCTTCCACATCTTCAACCAAGGGACCCACTGGGAATACCGGTACGCCCCCATCCTGTTCCGACTCTTGCACTGCTGGATGTTGCCGAAATTTAACAAAATACATAAATACTCCAAGATATTGTGTACGTGTATTAAAACTGTCCACCTGTATGAAAGCTGCATGTATACTCAAATTATTAATTAATATCCATTAATAGAAGAAGGTCCTGTTCAGTTGTATGTTCATTATGAACATTGAACAAAATTCATTTTCCGTTAAAAAAAAATCTGAATTTAGCCCTCCAAGTTGTTTTCCCAAGAGACATGTGTTGTACATTTCATGGCCATGTATTACAAATGTAAATGCAGTTGTTAACACTGATTGTGAAAAAACCCACTATTGGCCACTTTATGAAAATTCATCACTTTGTTCACAACCTAATCAAGTTCCAATGGAAATTATTGCTACTAAAAATTTAAAAAAATAACAAAAACAATAAAACAGAAGCAGGAGTGGCAAAATTACCAAACTCAACTTCAGTTTCTACGAAATATAACCCGTGGCATTATACCTGCAAAGTGTGAATATGCAAGTGATTTTTTGTATTGCAACGCGGGCTGCAAAATAATGTAGGCTGTGCATACACAATAAGGTGAATATTCTAAACGCTGTGGCGCCTGTCGTCTTGATGTCCTCCTGTATTCCTTTGCCCAAGGTTACGGTAGATAGCAGTGAAAGGTATCCACGGTCAAAATCATTGTCAATTGCGATCTGCGTTACTACGTCACCTGCCAGATTCTCCGTCTTTTCTTTCTCTTTGTTATCTTCCTGAAAGGTGACATTTATTAAATCAACGTGGCGCCGGCAGGCTCCTGTAATGATTTCCTATTTTATTTTACGTCTCAGCAAGATTTTTTTCTTTTTCTTGTTTTGTCTTGCATTTCTTGTCAGTGCTTGCCTCACGTTGAAGTTCAATATAAAATATTGAAGGAATTGATTCTACCGTGGATTCATTAGGAACAATAGGCAATATCGTCTTGCATACCGGTACTTACGTATATATGCATGTAATATATGCATGTAATATATGCAGTTGTGTATTTTTGCACACGTTTGCGTGCAGTTCGTGTATCTGCATTGATGTCTGCAATATTGCCCCTCTCCTGGTCACAATGGACCAGAATTCGTAATGTGAGAATATGTAATGGAAGAAGCTTCGAAGGAGCTATGACTATGAGTGCATAGCCTGTGATAAAAGAAATTTGATGCCTTAAAAAGACACATACATGAACCTTAATTGAGGATGAACATACTGTATCATTTACAATGTTAAATTGCTCCCTCTCTCTACCAGTACATAAACATGAATGTTATAATGTACACCATCCTTGTACTATGTATGTACACCACGTAACATGACATTATTTTGAAATGTTGGAAAACCTGCATATACATTCACATTTTAATACAGTGTACATGTAGCAGCATCATATGTATATCTGTTATATTTTCCCCTGCAATTTTTAAAATACCGGTACATTCATGCTTGGTTGTACATGTATGTACATGGATATTAAATATTATGCTCTATTTTTAGCAATGTAAAAAAAAAAGAGCTTGGACGAGAAACTGGTTTATTTTTTTAATTGGCCTAAGTAAGAAAGGAAAAACCTATCAAGGGGTGTCACAATGGACTTTCACACCTTCTCACATTGCATGGCTAGCTTGACACAAGAGTGTTCTGCAGATTAATCAAGAATATACCAGTACATATACATGTGTGCAAATCTTTGGATTTGACAACATCATGGGCAGAGAGTATGGCATGATTAACTAGTGGTGGGATTTAAATCTAGATTGTTTAACATTTGGTTTGATCAAACTCCACTATTCGGTTTGGATTTTGGAAACTGGATATTCCAAGCCGACCTTAAAAAAAATCAAGCCTTCCATTTTTTGGTGACATACATGTGCATGTAGGCTACAGAAACAACTGGAACATCCCCCAATTTGCTCCATGGTGTCTGATTGTAAGACCCCGTTCCCACTTGATCCACCAATTGGGGATCTGATCCACCTTTTGCCAAATTGCCGGATCAGATCCCCCAATTGGTGGATCAGATCCGGCAATTGTGTGTAGTGGGAACGCTAACCGTTATAAGGTGGATCAGGATCAGATCCACCTTTTCTGATCCACCTCTGGACCAGGATACAGATCCCCCAATTGGTGGATCAGATCCGGCAATTGGCGGATCACGATCAGATGGGAACGCAAAAGGTGGATCTGATCCGGCAATTTGACCTGTCAACATCCGCACGGTGCACCAGTGGCGCGAAAATGTTGCGGTCTTAAGAACGAAGAAACACGTTTTCAGGCGTGTAGCTCATGTGAAAATTTCCAACGTACACAACATGCACAATTAACAACCGCGGAACTACGGGCTAGCACCGCGCATGCACGTGGTATATCCTGAAACTACACTAGGCCTTTTACAATTTTCGTTGCGTTATTCTTCCATTTCTAAACCTTTTTTATTCGTGAAATTGTACTTATTTTTCCATCCATAAATGACTCTGAGTCGGCACTCACCAAAACACTTCAATTTGGCACAGAATCATGGAAAAGCTTACGAGTACGCAATGAGAATAGTGCCGATAACGCGGTGCGTCTGGAGGTGACAAATCTGTAGTATTGATTATAGAAAATTGGAAAATGATGTCGTAGTACATCATGTGACCATTTTTAACCAATGAGAAGCTTCAGAACCAGGGAATCCCTTATCGATGCATTGGTTTCTGCCGTGATGTCACACATTGAGCGGCGCTGTTCGATTTCACCAGTTAATTTATGCACGTACGGATCCTCTACATACAGATCCGTGATTTATGTCGGTGAATTCGCGTAATTTTTGTCGGTGAATTCATAGCGCTGTTAAAAACTGACCCAACCTGGCCTAGCATGCAACACTACTGGCACTCCACAGAGCGCGCGTAATTCTGAACTCAGTGACCTTTCGGACTCAACATTTCCATTCGAAAAGGTGGATCAAGCATAAGACGGAACGTGACTTGCGGTTTCGTTGCGGTCAGATAACGATCACACCAAAATGCCGGATCTTGATCCACCTTTTCCAAATTCAAGTGGGAACGCGGTGTAACTGCCTTCACTTGCTAGTGGTCTTCTTGGTTCATGAATAGCCTGCCCATTCGACTGATCAGAGAGTTCCTACCCATTTGTTCAACATTACAGCTCTGTGGAGTGTTTTTGTAAAGGCCCAGTGGTCACTGAATCCTGCCAACTATAGGCCTACACAGTCATTGTAAGGGTATTTCATGTGGCACCTCACTCATCACTTCCGGTGAAATCAGAAAACCATTATTCGGGGGATTTCGGTTAAACAAAAATTGGATAACTGGATTTTGAAATATCCCATTCCTCCCACCACTGTTATTGACTTCGCATGAAGGAAATACCAGTATGCATAGACCAGGGGCGTCAATCGCTTCTCAAAAGTGGGTGGACATACCGGTACCATGATCAGAAATAATGCGAGCGCGAAGTGCTCTGTGGTGCGATCTGAGGCAATTTCTGACCACTTTAACCAATATTTTCCCAGCAAAAGATAATAATTTAAAAATCATTTACGAGGTTGAAGTCATTGAATGAGCTATTATATTCTAAGCTAAAGGCGTGGGGTTCGGGGCCTGAGGGCCCCGAAAAATTTTGGATTCTAAATGCTCCGTGGTGCGATCTGAGGCAATTCCTGACCATTTCAACCAATATTTTCTTAGCAAAAGATACATTGTAGTACATAATAGGGCCCTGTAAATGAGGCACGAGTCAAAAATCTGGGAGGGGGGGACATTTGATATTGTGTCCCCACCCTTCAAAATGTGTGGGGGACATGTCCCCCTGTCCCCCCAGGATTGACGCCCATGGCATAGACCAGTAAAAGGGGTATTTATTTTGGGGCGGCTTTGGTTTCATGGTTTGTAGAGTTACCTTTGTACACTATGTCAGGATAATGCTAACCTTCCCTTTTTGATTTCTCTCCAGCCTGAAGAGCCAGATTATGCCTCCCAGAAACAGGTCTACAGTGACTTGGGGCAGGAGATGCTTACGCATGCGTTTGAAGGGTACGTGGTCAGCTTTTGTTTATTAGTTTTCTCGTTATTTCAAACTTGCCAAAGTCTTCCCAAATCTGTTGTTTTGTTTTCATATTGCAACCAGTCCACCCATCCTGTGGAGTTTGGGACAGTCATATTTCAAAAATTGACAGTTAAAATAATTGTACAGCTCAAGTGTTCTTTTCAACTGCCAATTGTTTAAAGTTGCCACACACACACAAATCTAAACTGCAGGTAGACATGGTTAAGGATATGATAGGTGTTACTTGTACGGTATAAACTAGTATATATTTGCTTTATAAAACACTGATTAGATGCTTTCCCTTTTTTCAGTTTTTATCCCCCATGGTACCAGTACATGTAAGGACATACATTTTTGCAATTCTGCTGGTACATGAAGATAAAACCCTGATTTCTGGATTTCATTCTTATTTATTTTGTGCAGGTACAATGTATGCATATTTGCTTATGGACAGACAGGGTCTGGAAAGTCCTACACAATGATGGGTAAACAAGAAACGTCCCAGGAAGGCATTATACCATTGGTAAGAACCAAGAACTTTCAATGGAACCTTTGGTAAGATCCAAAGTCCCTACACAATGATGGATAAATAGGGGGTATCCCAGGAAGGCATTATACCACTTGTAAGAACCAAGAACTTCCATTGGAACCTTTGGTAAGATCCAAAGTTCCTACACAATGATGGGCAAAGAAGTGGCATCCCAGGAGGGCATTATACCACTGGTAAGAACCAAGAACTTCCACTGGAACATTTGGTAAGATCCAAAGTTCCTGCACAATGATGGGTATTAGGCATCCCAGGAAGGCATTATACCACTTGTAAGAACCAAGAACTTCCATTGGAACCTTTGGTAAGATCCAAAGTTCCTACACAATGATGCATAAATAGGGGGTATCCCAGGAAGGCATTATACCACTTGTAAGAACCAAGAACTTCCATTGGAACCTTTGGTAAGATCCAAAGTTCCTACACAACGATGGGCAAACAAGAGGCATCCCTGGAAGGCATTATACCACTGGTAAGAACCAAGAACTTACATTGGAACCTTTGGTAAGATCCAAGGTTCCTACACAACGATAGGCAAACAAGAGGCATCCCTGGAAGGCATTATACCACTGGTAAGAACCAAGAACTTACATTGGAACCTTTGGTAAGATCCAAGGTTCCTACACAACGATAGGCAAACAAGAGGCATCCCTGGAAGGCATTATACCACTGGTAAGAACCAAGAAATTACATTGGAACCTTTGGTAAGATCCAAAGTTCCTACACAACGATAGGCAAACAAGAGGCATCCCAGGAGGGCATTATACCACTGGTAAGAACCAAGAACTTACATTGGAACCTTTGGTTAGATCCAAAGTTCCTAGCACCTTGGCCTTGCAGTGGAGACTTCTTGCCCCGGACATTTTCGGAGACCAGACCCCTAATTCGGTTTTAAACCAAACGTTAATAACTGCACCGTCACACTTGTATTCCCTTGTTAAATATACATGCATGTCGGTTTAGTGTACACTTACTGACATACATACATGTACATTGTACATGTACGCTGTTCTGAGTACACATCTTTGTACTGTACTTGCGTATTTACACTAGATGGACATATCATAACAATAATAAGGAAACTAAACAAATCTTGTTTACATTTCATAGATGTGCAAATCTGTGTGCATGTTTTTTTATTAAACTGCATGTACATTATTGTAGACTCTATTGTAGAAATTAGAAAGTTGAGGAAATCATATTTATAAGCTACATTTTTCATATGTGACTATGTGATAGGAGAAATTGAGGTTTGCAAGTCCGGTTATCCTAATTTGTTTCAAACCGAATAATGGTTATCTGTTTGCACCAGAAGCTACTAGTACGGCTTATGCCAACAAAAAGTGACGAGTAAGGTGATGAGTGCGATGCCCTCCACTTTGTGGGATTGATTTTGGAGGATTTTGTGGGATTCAGTGACCACTTGTCCTTAACAAAAACACTCCAGAGCTGTAATGTTGTAATAAAAATGGGCGGGAACTCTGAACAGTCAAATGGGCAAGCTTAGCCATTTGTGAACCAAAAAGACTAGCGAGTGAATGCGGTTACAATCAGAGACCCTGGAGCAAATGAGGCGATGTTCCAATTGTTTTCTTCAGCCTGTGTCACAAAACAACAGAAAACTTATCTTTTATAAGGTTCGTTACGAATGTCTGGTTTTCCAAAATCCAGACCGAATAGTTGAATTCAAACCGAATATTAAAAAATCCGGATTTAATGCCACCACTAATCTTGAATCAGACTGTAGCCCACAAGGGATATCATGAGAGTAAAGTGACTTGCGTCTCCTTTCAACCTTCTAGTTCACACATGTAACCCTATCTTTTCACACGGCTACCTGACGTCCGGAGACCAAAGATTGAGGTTTATAGGTTATGAGCGCCTTGTGTCGTGCTCCGCGACATTTGATCAAGATTCGACAGTGTCGCATTTCAGAGATAATCCTTTAGAAATATTCCTCATAGCCTCAAAGGCTAATTCATCCTCAAAACCTGGCTTTTCACATTAAAAATAGCATAATGTGGGCACCAGAACAAAACATGTTTACTTTTGTAACCTAGATATCTGGATATATTTGGGGACTTATTTCCATTGGGATCACTGGGTTTAAAGATGTATTCCACCTGCTATTTTTGAGTTTCACCTCATAAAATAGGGTGTTTGCAGTCCTTAGTTTCCTAGCAATGTTTAGTTTACTTTTGATTGGGACTTTGAACAAAACAATCCACCGACGTTTAGTTATTGAAGGATTTCTTCACAAAATTCAAATGATTGACTGCCGGACAATAATTCAGCTCTCGCAGGGTGGCTTATTTGTGCACAAAGTGAAAGTCCTTTTTAAGATGGTTGCAGACACCCAAAATTTGAAAATATTAAAAAATTGAAAATTATAAAATTATAAAAATTGAAAATTTGTTAAAGGAGAAAAATCTATTTTTGAAGAGCCTGGGCATGCTTCTTTAAGGTGGGGCTGGATAGGCTCATGTACATTGCCAGATTTGGTTTGTGAGGAATATTTTTTTTGAATCAATTGAAATGGAAACTGAAAAATCAAAATTGCAATTGTGAAGTTATTGTCAGGATTCTAGTACAGGCAGATGGACATGTATAACCCCCAAAAGGGTGGGTTTTTTAACCTCTCCAAATGTGATCTCAGAAATGTAATGATTGATCTTATGAAATCTGGTAGACTTCTGTTAGATTTCTTAAGAAATCTTATTGGAGACCTTCATGCTTTTTAATATACACAGTACATGTATATATGTACATCTACTTCCCTTTTCCATTATTGTCTCAGACTAAAGTAACAAGCCTGGCCGATTGCTATTTCAAGTCATTTGAAAATTATAAATGCTGTTGACAATGCACTCAATAACCAATAATTCTGTCAGCTTTACAGTACCTTGTTCTCAATTTTTTTTTAACCCATTGACACTCTTGCACCTTCTGAAAGTAAGCTATCGTTTACACTGGGGGGTTTTTTTTTGGAGGGGGGATAAATTGTACCGAATAATGCAAATGAACAAGTTTTGATTAATAACTGAAGAATCGTTGCCAACTTTTTTGTGGTAATTTTCAGCTATGTAAGGAGCTGTTTGACCGAGTCAGCAACCATCCGGAACCCAACATGCAGTACTCAGTAGAAGTCAGTTACATGGAGATCTACTGTGAGCGAGTGCGAGACCTGCTCAACCCAAAGAACAACAAGAACCTGAGAGTGCGGGAACATCCGCTGCTGGGTCCCTACGTGGAAGATCTGTCCAAGCTGGCAGTTATGTCATTTAGTGATATATCAGATCTGATGGATGAAGGCAACAAAGCGAGGTTAGTATGGGCTCCGTGCACAAGTACCCCCTCAACGGCAAGAAAGGGAGAGTTGGGGGAGACCACTGGCAGAGACATTTGAATGTATCACTGGCGATGCCTGACGCTCACGCCAAGATGCTGTTGCTTTGTGCACATGCAGAATAAAATAAATTGTGCATAGTTTGCGCTGTATGTCAGCCAACCAGTACGTAAAAACAATGCGTCCTGTCCACCGGGCTCCCAAAATGATCAAAAAGCGCCTTCTCTTGTTGGCGCATGGAGCCCATTACTCCGTTTGTGGGTATTAGCAAATTATTCATGATTGATTCAGTGCGTGAAATTAGACAAAAAAAGTGGTCAGACAAAATGTCCGAGCACAATCAAAAGTGTTCTGCCATTGTCAAGTTTTGATCTGCCATTTAGCGTTCCAAATTTGAAGGTCACATGAGCAAAAAAATAAGTAAATTACTCTGTGAAACCTTGCGAGACGAACTTTCAAAAGGCCGCGTTTACTATACTTCAAACACGTGGACGGTACATACACGTGTGTACATGTACAGTATGTATGTTTACGTACATACGTATCCATAATACACACTATGTAGTTGCAATGACAAGCGCCGGGCATTCACGCGCTCGTTTCTGTAGTAAGCCACGTTGTGAGAATTTAGTAACAATCACGGACTTAAAGCATACCGCGCAACACAACGTACTTTGATCTTGCTAAATTCTCATTACATGTATGCGCGTCAATGTCCTTATAATACTCTATACTCGTCACTATACAGACTCGATTCAAGTCTGCAGAACACATAACTTAAACTGGGTGAAATTGCAGTTCTGAATGTCCAAAGAGGCTCGATCGAATCATTATAGCAAGGAATAGAGGTTGAATCAGGTCCAATTTAACACTTTTGCCCAATAGAAATTAACTGGGAATTCCACAAACGGCCACTGCTCATTTCCATAAAATGACTTGAAAAGTACAAGAAGTTGTATTAACTTATTTGTAGAAGAAACACGAAGACTGCTGATCGAAACACAATTTATCGACTTGATTTCACGTCTATTTTTTGGCAAACGGCACGTACGTACGAATGCCAATCTATCGCTGTGCACGCCGCGCTGCACTAGACTGTGTAATGATTGGGGTGTAAACGCGTTGCATCTATTGCGTGAATATAAGACAACACGTACATGTAGTTAGCAGCCGCTCAGCGTACGGTAAGTATTACAGACCGGATCATCGGAAATAAACAACAAAATACTTTTGAGTGCAAGCGTTTATTTCATACTTCTGAAAAAGACAACTCCACAAAGAATACATAAATCGCTCGGACATTTTGTCCGAGCACATCTGCATTTGGTCGGACAAACCGTGAAAGTGGTCGGAAAATGTCCGATGTCCGACTGTAATTTCACGCACTGTTGATTATACAGGGTGAATAAAAAAACGAAACCCAAATGTTGGGACCATTGTTTTAGTGAAGTTCTGCATGTAGCACTTTCAAAATCTAGGATATGAAAGCCCAATTCATAAGCTTTCTTTTAGAACAAGAATCATTCAAATCACTCATGTATTTTTCAAGTTACAGAATTTTAAACACAACCACCGTTCTTTTATCAAACCCAACACAAATCACATAGGGATGTGTGTGAATTATTTTCGTTTTACTGAAAGAATGCACACCTTTTTTGTGATCAGTGGACAGAACTTTAAAACGGTGGTTGTGTTAAAAAGTTTGTAATTTAAAAAGTACATGAGTGATTTGAATGATTCTTGTACTAAAAGAAAGCTTATGAATTGGGCTTTATATCCTAGATTTTGAAAGGGCTACATGCAGAACTTCACTAAAACAATTGTCCCAACATTTGGGTTTCGTTTTTTTTTAGTCACCCTGTACTTTCTGGATTGGTAAATTGTTCTCAGTAGCGCCATGAGACTACCCCTAAGTCACAAAGACAGCTCAGGTTAAATGCATATTTGTTGTTAAATTTCTTAAGATTTTTCTCTTCTTTGCCTTTGCTAGGACGGTGGCCTCCACCAACATGAACGAGACAAGCAGTCGCTCACACGCCGTCTTCACCATCGTCTTCACCCAGAAACGTCACGATATCGAGACGGATCTGTGCACGGAGAAGGTCAGCAAGGTCAGCTTGGTTGACCTGGCAGGAAGTGAAAGGGCTGACTCAACGGGGGCCAAGGGGGTCAGGTTAAAGGTCAGTCACAGGTCAAATTAACGTAGATATTTGAATAGCTGTGATCAGATCACTTTCACTTACGTGCTTACTGTAAAGAATTTGATTCATTCAATAAAAAATATCAGTCACATTGTGATTCTAACCAGTACCTGTAAAGCTTGCAAGAACCGTTTAGAACAAAAAAAAGGAAGATTTGAAAGATCAATTTCTGTTTTAGGAAGATTGTTTTATTAAAATTGTGTGACGATTTATTAATGTTTTTGTTTTTATTTTCTGTTAATAGGAGGGAGCTAACATCAACAAATCGTTGACTACACTCGGCAAGGTCATATCAGCATTAGCAGAAGTGGTAAGCATATTACACTGTGTTTGCTTATAAGCTTGGTCCGGTACAGTTTGCATTGCTTAACCCTAGGCCCTTTTGGTTAGGAACGATCCTCAATCCTGCATAATCCTCCAATTGCAACTATTTAAAAATTGGATTCAGCCTCAATCCTCCGAACTTATCCGTTATTGTCTTGAATTTGTTCAGTGGCGGGGTGACCACTGCCTCAATCCTGCAAAATCCTCCAACAATTACTGTTAATGGGTTGAGGCAGTGCTGATGACATTAAGAAGCAGTGCGGATGATATCGAGCATAATGCAGGGCTCAATTATGCATGGCTGAACATAAACAATGCAGGGTACAGTCTATGAACTCAACACAATGCATTCTCCAACATTTTGTCCAACATCAACCGATGAGAGGGATTATGAATATAGTAAACAAACTTCTCAACAAATAATAAATGTCATTTGAATTCGTTCTTATTAATGACACGTGACTGGCAAATGGCAAGGTTCAGAGGTATCAGGGACAGGAAAAAGGTCACACTTTGGGCCCAAAATTGATAGAATGATCCACATAACAATTCCAGTTATGAAAAAAATTGTTTTTTCTTAATTCATGTGTTGAGTGTGAGCAAATGTACATGTGCTTTCCTGCTTGGTCTGGGCCACTTTTTACCCACATTATTTCTCACTTGTAACTCCTGAAACTCCTATAACTTCTTGCCATGTGTGCGGCATTTGTTGCCACTAACAATCTTCTTAACTTGGCTCTGTTTTTCCCAACTACTCTCCCCCAGTCTCAAATGCAATTATCACAGGTGAGAATGGAGTCAAAGTCTTCTTGTTGTCGTGTCGTTGTAAACATGTGTCATTTTAATTTCTGATGTGTGATGTATATATTTGTTGTGCATTAACGTACATATCACTCACATTAACAGAACTAATGCTGTTGATAATACATTGAACTCGTTTCCCCATTATTTTTCATGTTACATGTATTTGGTAAACATATATATATTGGTTCCTATGCAAACTAACTTACATTGTACATGTACATGTATGTATGGGTGTGATTAGTTCCAAACCATTTTGTTGTAAACCTTAGAGACATGAGTGATACATGAAAATGTTGTAGCGTCGTCAAGTTTGTCCTTATACTGTAGTCAATAGTATTTCCCAACCGCTGCAAAAGTAATGTTTGTGGTGCTCTTGCAAAATGAGATTGAACTGGGCACATAGTGGGGCAGATAGGGCAAATATTTGGGGGCATTGTGCCTTTGATGATACAAGCATGGCATTTGGCATACAGTCAGAGTATGTCATGAGAAAGATATTTGGCTATAGGGCCATCGCAGATTTGTCCTTTGAAAAAAAAATATAGGTAGAATAACAAGCAATTTTCACAGTAGCTAATTTTGCTTGTTATTCTACCTATATTTATTCAAAGGACAAATCTGCGATGGCCCTATGGCCAAATATCTTTCTCATGACATACTCTGACTGTGTGCCAAATGCCATGTTTTTATCATCAAAGGCACTATCACCTATCTGCCGTACTAACAGGCCATAGTGGAGACACCTTTTTTTTAAATGCTTTTAAGGAAAAACAATAGGCATTTTTCATTTTCAAGACTACAACAAAATTTGGAAATTTGAGAGGTCTTTTTCTCATCAGTGTTTGGTTTTTTGACATTTTTTTTTTTTTTTTAAACAGCAGTAACTTGTCAATGGAATGTCCGACTGAAGTGCAACAAACTAGATTGCAAGGAGAATTTTATTCTTGTTTTAATATCTGCAAACCCTCATTTCGACCTCTGCCCAGTCTCGTTTTTCTAGAATGCCTAACATGCATTCTTTTTTTTTGCGGTAAATATTTTATGCGCAGTACTTAATATTTTATATCGAAGAAGACTTCATTTTGTGTAAACGTCTACATTTATGTGTATTATTTTTGTTAGTGAGTACATTTGCATGGTTTGGAAATGTTTTTGTATCTTCTTGATTTGTCGGTGTGACACTCCAAAAAATAAATGCAGCAATTGAGGTGTGAGCTAAATTATTAGCTGTTCAGTCGGAAATCACACACTCTCAAACAAATATAAATTTGGTCCATTGTAAAAAAAATAAATTAAGTGTCAAACTTTGAATTGTGAGCATCACACTCCCATACATGTAATTCCAATGGTAATAATGTACACGTACCGTATCTTTCAGTACAAATTTATTATATGCTTCATTTGTTCAAAAAGAATATTTCTTCCACATTTTGATGGTATTAAGGATCCTCTTTTGAAGGATGTTTTTCCAGCTGAGCAAAAGCTTGCCATCTGTAGGCTTGTTCCTCTTCAAGAAAAGCAAAACAAATATTCTGTTATCACAAGTTCTAAATTGCAAGTGATGAAGGTTTTTTAGGAGGTCCTACCGTAGATTGCTCAGCAGACGTTCTAAGACATCTTGGCTTTATTTCCTTGCATCCCAGGCAAGCAAGAAGAAGAAGAAGGCAGATTTCATTCCATACAGAGATTCAGTACTCACCTGGCTACTCAGAGAGAACCTGGGTGGTAATTCCAAGACGGCCATGATCGCTGCGCTCAGCCCGGCCGATATCAACTATGACGAGACACTCAGTACACTCAGGTAGGGGAGAAGGTCATTGTAAATCCTAACCTTGCATGATCCTTCAAACTCAAACAAGTGGTTTTGTAGGGTTTGGTAGGCATGAGGGAGGTGGAGCCCTGGCACTATTACACTATTATCCCAGATCCTTCAAAATTAAACAGTGGTTTTGAAGGGTTTTGTAGGAACGAGGGAGGTAGAGTCTGGGCACTATTACAGTATTAGTCCACATCCTTCAAACTCAGGCAGGTATGACTTCAGACAGAATTTGGATTGAATGTTTGATAGGACTCTCTTTCTTTGGTCCTGACAGATACGCAGACAGAGCCAAGAACATCGTCTGCAAAGCCATCGTTAATGAAGACCCCAACGCCAAGCTGATCCGAGAGCTCAAGGAGGAAGTGCAACGACTGCGGGAGTTGCTGATAGCTGAGGGGATCCAGATGAACGCGCTGCACTCTGGCAGCACGGAGAGCAGCGGACAACAGCAGCAGCAACGAATCATTCCTGTACAACCCATGAAAGAGGATGCGCTGGATAGGCTAAAGGTAAAATGACTGCTGCATGGCGTGCTAACGTATCAAAGATTTATAAATAAATCTGAAAATGGAAAAAAAAAAATCATGCCCATTCAGATTTTTGCTATTTCTCTCCACTGTGGCCTTTGCCCAGTTCCGTTTCATTTTGTCAGAACGCTTCACATTTTTTTGGTGAAAGTTCACAAACCTGTATCATCTTCGTGTGAGCATCTAGCATACAAATCCTTCCTATTTCTGTCCGTACCTGCTGAGGGGAACTGGTGAACTTTGTCCATAGGGGCGTATCTATCAATGTCACTGAATGTTTTGTGGTTTTTTTTTTTTCAAGGAATCAGAGAAGCTGATCGCAGAACTGAATGAAACATGGGAAGAGAAACTGAAGAAGACGGAATCCATCAGACTGCAGAGGTCAGATTTTCGCTAACTCCAAAACTTTTAGATTTTTAGAGCAATGCTAGAGTAACTATTGGTTGATGTCATGAAACTAACTGAGTTGCTGTAGGTTGGGCTTGAGTGGCAGCAGTATGCATTCTTTTGCAAGCCATGATTTAGGCCCGTAATGATTATTACGTTATTTGTTTAAAGGTAATAAACAACATTTGCCTTTGCTATAATTTTCAGAAATGGATAAATTTGAGGGTTAGTATTTTATAGCAAATATTGTTACGCTGACCTGTTTAAAGTTTTGTGTTCATAGATGCTGAAAAAAACCAAGGGAAAAAATGCTGTTCTTGTAGTCTGGTTCCCTGATCCTACTTAAGACTATACAGATCAAATGATGGACATTGGGGAATTGTCAGGTCAGGGAACTAGACTAGCTGGCTTACGCTCTTTCATTGATGTGTAGCCGATTGCAAACGAAATGTGCACTTAAGTTAGTAAATAAGGGGCAGTTTTTGAAAAATGATGGTCGGCTGACCATCAGTGGCCGACCATCATTAAAAATTGATACAAAAATTCCACTTTTCTTGAAGATGACAGCACGCCAGGTGCTATGATTTCACAGGATGCTTGAGACTATAACTCACTTACAGTCAAGTCGGGTATTTCATAATAATTTGGTAGTTTTGTTTTTTGATGTTTGCACATGTTTTGTATATTACCTTTAAAGGTTGATTTTGTAATTTATTTGGTTAAATTGAAAAACACTTTCATTTAGAATGCACCGGAGCACAAGGCGATTTCTGGACAAAGTGCACCTTTAATATTTCTGTGTTATTTTGTGTAGGGAGGAGATGCTAGCTGAGATGGGCGTGGCTATCAGGGAGGATGGCAACACAGTGGGCGTGTTCTCACCCAAGAAGACCCCCCACCTTGTCAATCTGAATGAGGATCCATTCATGTCTGAATGTCTACTCTACTACATCAAGGACGGCGTCACCAGGTAACTGGCTTGATACTGCAGACTATCAATCTTTTAATGTTTGTCTTTGAGAATATCAAGGCGACAAACAAGAATTGAGTACCAAATAAGGCTTTGACTGGGTGTCAGATTGTTTTAAGCTTTGGAAGCTAAACGTGTGCGAGTCATAAATGAATGTGTAAAGAAATGGTCGTCAGAAATCAAAGGCGACCTGTTAAAAGTCAAGCCTTAGCGAGAATCCACAATTTTTTTCAAATGAAAGACATAAACGCATTCATTACACTTGATAATAAAATTGAAATAAATGTACAAATGAATTACCCAAATATCAATGATTGTAAAGAAAAAATTGACTTTTGATCAACTCAGAAAAGCTAAACGATGTCTATGTTAGGTGCAAATATGCAGAAAATATAAAGTCTTATCCATGCAGCTTTTTCCCTCTATGGAGTCCAAATATAGGGAGCCTGTCTTTTTTACAGATACTTGTTTTGTTTTGCAGAGTTGGGCGTTCAGACGCTAACATTACCCAGGACATACAACTCAGAGGCTCACATATACAGGAAGAGCATTGCTTATTCACCAAAGAAGATTCCCTAGTCAAGATTGTACCATTTGAGGGGAGTATGTGTTACATCAACGGAAAGAAAGTGTCCAATCCGCTACTACTACGATCAGGTATGGGAAACCCCCCCCCCCCCCTCAAAAAAAGAAGTCTTCTTGTACTCATACTTGTTCCCATGGTACAGCCGCATACTGTCTCCTGTAATTAGCTGTTGAAGTCGTTGTTTGTCTGAACCCTACCAGGTTGTCGTGTGATCCTGGGCAAGTACCACGTGTTCCGTTACAACCACCCTGAGCTGGCCCGTCAGGAGAGAGAGAAGACGCCTCAGGTGGAGACCACCTTGGCAGCTGAGAAGGAACCGGTGGATTGGTCCTTTGCTCAGAATGAGCTGCTGCAGAAGCAAGGCATTGACATCAAGGACGAGATGGAGAGAAGGTATAGAGTAGGGGTGTTTTGTATCAAAGAATTTGAGTTTTTGTAATATTAGTTGTTTATTAACTCCCCACTGGGAGATTAAGTCTTTCCTTGGGCGACATTTGTCGACAAGGAACTACCCCCTGCTGCTTACCATAGGCGACTTTAGTCGACCAGGAAACCACACACAGAACACCCTCAACACAGATTTATTCACTGCTTTCCAGCAAGTTGGTATGTTTGGCTGCCCATACATCAACCATATACCAACTGAAAGAGTGTTTTCGGATTGTTCTAAAGGTGTAGTTTAATATTAATGGTAGTACCATGCTACCATTACAAACATTTGAGAAAAATGCTTCAGAAGTATCCACGCACAATTTGAGATATGGAGTGCCATTTGGGCATGTGGTGAACAAACAGACATTACTTTCTTATTTTTGCGCATATGGCCTTAATTTTTACATCCTCCAAACAAAACCGCATGAAGGAATACCGCCACTACAGCATCCCCTGGCATTGTCCCCTGCAGAATATTACATAATTGTCTGGGAAACCCAGAATGGAGTTTTTGTCATGGTTAGAAAAATAACTCAATTCTTTGATTTACCACTTTCTTGTCAGTCGAAACTAGAAATGACCATTGATGCTACCGACAGTATCCATCGGAGATAACTCTGAAAATTCCTAATTACTTGAAAATTCTCTTCTTGTTTTGTGAGAACTGCAAGCAAGGGTTAACGGCTGTATTTGAAGACAATATGTCAGATTATAATCTACCTTCCCATGTGTCCCATTGCACAGGTTGCTTGCCATGGAACTGCAGTACAAGAAGGAAAAGGAAGAGGCTGACCAGCTCTTGGAACAACAGAGGCTGGTGAGATGCATGAATGAAATGAGTTCATAGTAGTAATAGACTTCATTGAAAAAATGTCTTTTAAAGTTAGTATTTCTGTGTTTTTTTTTAATATACATGGAATTGTAAAAAAAAAATTGTGAGGAGGAGGGTTGCTGTATATGTAAGTCATTGATTGTAGACTTCATACCTTTGGGGAAAATTTGGATTATTAATTGATTTCAAGACATCTTTTCCTTCCTTTTAACCTTCCCAGGATTACGAGAGCAAGCTGCAGGCTCTCCAGCGTCAGGTAGAAGAGCAGTCCCTCCTGTCTGGTAACACAACCCCCGGTGACCTGAGCGGCGATGATGAGGACAACCTGGAAAGTAAGTTCCTGACTATTGTCTTCCTGGCCATGCTGTTCTGGAATATCTACAGCTTCTCGGTCGTTATCGTGTCTTTCTTGTTCCTAGTTAGCTGTTACTTTGTGGCCATTGTGGAGCTCAGGTGACAGTCGGTTGGGGCCCGAACCATTTTTTTAATCACATTTTTAGGAGTCAATTATTGTGCCTGGGAGATGGGAATTTGATCCTGGGTCTGTAATACTGACATCAATATTAGGTTTTGACATTCACCGGCGTGTAAACACTGAATGCTCAGTGTTGGAAAAAAAAATCACTCGGATGGGACTCGAACCCACGACCACCTGCTTTCTAGTGAAGATGTCTTACCACTCAACCACCGAGCTTGCGGAATCGGTTGGCTGGTTTGAATCTGATGTACATGTAGCAGCGGGTACCGCATTTAACTATTCATAAGAATATACAGTGAGAGTATACAGTGTTAACATGTCGGTGAAGGGCAAAACCTAATTTTGAGTTACATCAGCCGATGCAAATTCCATCTTATGAATAATACTGACATTACTTTGTCAGCACTGTTTACTGAGTGCATCAAAATATTGAGAAGTTGCCTGGGTGGCAGTCAAACAGCGCCCTCATGCTCCCTGATGCAGACATCTTCACTACTCAACCACCGAGCTTGCTGAGTCTTGCTGGCCGATTCAGAATCTGATAAGCTCCGTGATTGAGCAATTAACATACGTCTGCACTAGTAAATGTGAGGTTTATTGTCCCAAAAGGAGTGAATCAAACTAGGAATGATCCGAGGAATGATTCTGCTTCTGTTTCGTGTTTGTGTTGGTTTTGTTTCCCTCATGACTGTAAGACAGTAAATAGTTGTAGAGTTTTATGTTCCTTGTTTCAGTGTGCTTGGATTATGCCAGATCTGCCGTTGTCTTTGGTTTTAAGATGCAATTCGTGGACAAGTTTTCACGTTCACAATCTTTTACCTGGATGTCTTGTCTTGTACCCAAGAACCTCACGTGAATGCATCATACACTTTTTCACTCGATCTTGGTACCAAACTATTTTGGTCAAAGGAAATGCTTAACAGCCAATCAGATCCATTGTACTTTACATTTAAACCTGTGGTGTCTATCACCTCATGAGATTGGCTGGTTGGATCAACAGAACTTCCAGTGTTTTTACGGCTTTTCAGTGTTTTTGTATCGAATTTTAATATTAAATGTCAAAACTTGCCCAGTGCTGATTTTAAACTTCTTAAAGTAACACATTTATGTAAAAAAGCATATGATTGGAATATCAGCATGTACTCGTGTGTTGTTTCTCGTTAATACTTGTCTGTTTTATATATCATACGTATAAAAAGTGCAATATCGGTCGTGCATGTATAATGACAAAGTTCAGTGTCAAGTTGACGAATCAGAGATTGATCATTGATTGATTTGAAATCAATCATAATCACTGAGTGTAAAGATATTGACCTCAGAAATTATATCGATTGAAATGAACCATGCCGGCTTTTTTTATAATTTAACAGCAGATTTAATAATTTGAGGTAAATTTTTTATATTTTCATAAAATGATTTGCATTCCAAATGTGTTGTCAACATGTGAAAGTACTGACGCGAGAGAACAGTGTTGAGTTTGCGAAACGATGAAGTTTATTATTCCATAATAAAGGATGTTTCTTCCTTTGACATCTTTTGATACGCCACTGATATTTGTGAATTTTTGAATTCTTTATATGGAATGTATCTGTAATTTTTGGATATTTGATACCTTCTTTAAAATCAGTGAATTCTTTAAGCAGTGCCTTGTCACAGTAGACACTCTATGCTCGTTACAATTTGCTACACAACTTACTCTTATAAGTGCATCAGTATACAGAAGTATGCAGAATATTTCCATCAAATCTTACCTTTAATCACATTTGTTTTCTAAGCAAACTTAAAATTAGTGTAAACAGGGTCAGCGTTGTGGTACAGTGCCTCTTTTTAGGCAGCCTTTGATTCCCTAACTTCAAAATTCCAGCGATTTCTTAAGGCACGAGAAAGAAGTGACATTTGATTTACATCTACCTACTTAAGTTATGCAAATTTATACAATGCATTGTCCAATCATGAAGCTTCCTGCAATCTTACCCCATATATGCAAATGTGTTTAATGCAAGGAAGGATTGCTTAAACTCTTTGTACCACTTAGATCTTTTGACGAAATTACAATTTTTGATATTTTTTTCAAGTCAACAACAAATTTTGTGTCTAACTTCCAAGAAAAAAATTAATACAATAGTAATTGCAGTAAAGAAATTTATTTGAACTTTTTTATTGCATAAAGGAGAATTTCCCCCAAATCAACCATCATTAAACCACTGAAATTACTTGGATATGGGTTACTGGTATCCTAGTAATTTCCCATTTATGTCATAATTTATTATTTTACTTTGAATAAAAAACTAAAATTCACACAGACAGTTGATGTGACGTTGCAATATTCGAAACCAATTGGTGTGCTGTATTACATTAGTACTTGTACGTGAATTTTAACATTTTTGCCGGAATGCTTTCTGGAAACTTAAACTAACATAACTTTACATTTTGTTGACTCAAATGAGGATCTGGAAAGTAAGGGTAAATGTTACCAAAGTAAAAGAAACTTTTTACTGATATTATAAGTATTTGAATCAAAATATTTAAAACTCTCTGAGTGCACCATTTGAAAGAAAGTCAAAAATTAGCAAGCATTCCTTTCGCACTTGGACAGACCGTAGAATGGGGTGGTCTGGGGACTACATACAAAGAATTTGCTAACGGGTTTGACAGAAATTCATCGGATATTCCTTCTTCAACTCTATAAAGTCATCTAACAGTACCTTATTTTTTGTTTGTTGCCGTCAAAAGTTGACCTTGTTTTTTTACATGTATATATTTTTTGTACAGAATTGAAATAAGTTATTAACCAGACCAAAAAGTGTAAATAGTTATATCAATACTTTCAGTTTGAAAAAACTCAGTACATCTCACCAAACAGTGGTCACATATAAAGTTGCTTCTGTACATGTATTTACTGTAGACAGCTGTCATTATATATTTAATTTATTGTATTGTATCATGCTTGTTGTTAACCCGCCTTGCGCTCTACATATTGTCAGTACTTAAATCACAGGATGATACACAAGTCATGATTCAACATGTCATCTCGTCAACTGATTCTGGAAGTTTCGCTTTAAAACTTATGACATGGATTGGACGACATTTTTTTCATAACAGCACGGCAGACTTTTTATCTAGGTGTTTTTTTTACCTCGTAGTGCAAAAATTTGTAGGCATTTATAATTATCATCAAGTAAACTTGAATCCTCGATCCTGATTGGTCGATCCATTACAACAAGCCGTGCTACATATAACCATGTAACCATGAAGCACGGCCATGGTCCATACCGCACTCCGCGTATTGCGCTATTCTAAGATGCACGCACCATTCCGTACAAAATGCACATGTAATAGGATAACCACTGAAAAGTTTATGTAGTGTGCGTGTTCATCTTAAAGGGAATATACAACATTTGCAAACATCGAAAAATAAAACTACCAAGTTTTTGCAAAATACCTTAATAGGATGTTGGTAAATGACAGTCTAAAGCATCCTGTAAAATTATGGCACCTGGTATACTGTCATTTTCAAGAAAAGTGGTATTTTTGTATCAATTTCCAACGCTGATCGGCCGATCAGCGTTGGAAACAACTGGCTTTTTTTCAAATACTGGCCCCAATTGACCATTGCACTTGTTTGCAATCGATTACAAACCTATGAACGGGTACGAGCCAGCTAGACTGGTTCCCTGACCTTACAATTCCCCAATGTATGTAAACTGCTCTGTTTCTTCTTATATGAAGTCAGGGAACCAGACTACAGGAAAATGATCGTTTTTCTTGGTTTTTATAGCATTTTCGATCCCAAAACCTCCAAAAAGTCAGTGTAACTATATTTGCTTTATATTTCCAACCCCCAATTCCATCCATTTCTGAAAATTACAGCAAAAGCAAATGATGTATATTCCCTTTAACTGCGCGTCAAGTTTGCTTGAAGATAAATTTGTTGTCCCACTCGCACTCATGGAACAGGGAAAATATAATGCGTCTGCATTTTTAGAGGAAGCATTTTGGGCCTTTTTATACTGCCTGTGTATGCTGTACATGTATTGAAATGCTCGTCAAAACTTCTGCGGGGGGGGGCTAAAAACACCAAAATGCGCTCGTTCATGATAGAAATGTTGGCTTAAGGAGTTGAATTTCCCCCCAAAATAAGAGACTTTCAAAAATGATATGAATCATGACTTGTGAATCATCGTTTCGCCAGCAAAGAAAAAGATTTTATGTTTTGTTATATTTTATGTTGAGAAATAAATATTATCACACGATGAGACCAAAGTCATATCTAAACTCTTGCGTATATTTTGTTTGTTCAAATATCATCTGGATAAGGTAGATTTCATTTTTTTTAATTTTTCCTTTTTTTGAATGAATATATCTTGGGTTCTTGAAAGGCATTAGGATATATCTTCTATAGATGAACAAAATGTGATGACAATTAAAGGCTACAATATACTTTTTAAACCCAATGTGTCAACTGTGATGCATATTACACATAACATGTCCACGTGGTGTGCCCCTTTAATCCTGCAACCTCTCCAGGGAGGCCTGTCCAACAACCACTGGGCCGGAATTTCCCAGAATTCCACGGTGCCCAGCAAGGCTGCCCATTGGTTAACGGTCAGCATACCAGTTAATTACTGCTGCTCGGTCTGTAACCTTGTTTATATTTAGATTTACCCAAAGCCCAAGAAATTCCTTCTACCCAGGGAATTATAGGGGATATCAGTAGGATCACAGTGAAATTGAGCACAAGGTTGTTTGTGTGTTCGTCCAGTCGCAGTTGCTACTCTTTTACTCCGTTGACTTATCTCTGTAAAAATGACTTGAGTGCAATTGAAAATCATCTCTATGCTGGTTTGTTTAAAAGAAAAAGAACGAAATTTTGAATGTGAAGGTATTTTATGATCATGACATTATTTTGCTGCATCTGCATTTAATCAACCCTGCAAACTGTTCATCAAGTTGCGTCGGTGATTCTCAAAGCTGAGCAATATGAAACAAGTCGTCTGATTGGACCGCTGGAGGAAGGACTGGAGCATGCAAGAGGCAGCCATTTTGTTTGTCTCCATGGAAACCTGAATTCAGCAGTTGACGTCCCACTCTAACATTTGCTCCTGGATACGTACATGTAGCATAAATTCAATAACATGTCACTGACTATTGCTGGTTCTTTTTCTTGTACATAAGTTCATATACTAACGCTTTTTGTCATTTTACCAATCTAAACTTTCTCACTTGCCATCAATAGATGATAACAAATTTGTCAACTTTTTTTCTGCAAAATACATTTAGAATGGAAAATAAAGATCTTTACTTTGTCATGGTGCCATGGTTTATCATCTTTCATTTGGAAATTCATGTAAATAACCATGACCGTCATTTCCTTTCAACTATGCTGCCGATATATTCATATTTCTGCAAACATAATGGGGTTTTGATTTTTTATGCAAATTTTGCAAAATTTAATGCAAATGGTTTTTTTTCACGAAATTTTTTAAATTGGTCGGTATCTTTCTTGACATACATACTACTTTTACATGAGTGCCAAAAAGAGTATTTTACTATTCAGCCATGTTTGTCCTATCACAAGGGCTTATTATGGTCAGCTGACCTGTACTGTCCAATCACATTACTGAGTCTGCTGAGCAATGAAACCTCTATCTTTTTCTTTGCCTGGTTACCTAAATATTTAAAATTGTTGGCCAATATAAAAATATACATACATGTATGTACATATACATGTAATACTAATGCAAGATGATTTCTCGTTTGTCATTTCTGTCCAGATATTTACTCTTTGTCATGTTTTGTATTAGTAAACAATTAATATACATGTACATTAGGTTTTCATATACAAATGTACGGTACCTACTAATAATGGTCATATTCTAATTTTAACATTAGGGGTATGTTCTAGAACATTGCTTTAGTGCAAAGTTAACATTCAGCTCCTGTTAACAACGGGCTACATGGTAACAATGTTCTCTTCATTTCATTGCTTATGCATTTGTAACAAAGGTCATTTTTTATGACTTACATATAAGGCTCTTAATATTGGCTGTGCTTTGATAACTTCAAAACTAAAAACTTGATCTTAAAATCAAGAACTTTCCCTCCTCAAAACAAGAGTAGGCTTTGGGAAGGGTTTGACTTTAACACAGCACCCAACAATGTGTTAGTCAAGGGCAAGAGCACGACAGGAAAAGTGAACCTGGTGCAAGAATTGTTGGTTAATTAATCACACTTTGTAATTGAGTGGTCAGGTAACCAGACCAATATGGCTGCAATATACCTGTATGTGTAGCTGTACATGTAGATGCTTGTGTCTTGCGTTCATTTGAATGTTGCTTGTGTCCAGGAGCAAATTTAAGAGGGAGCATTCATCTTGCTAGTTCAGTTTCCATGGTAACAAACATTGGGCTGTCATTTGTCTATCCTAGTGCATTATGGGGGAGAAGGTAAGCTGTTTGCTCCTTCTTTGTTTGCTCCAGTAATGGAGTTGTTTCTTTCTTTTCTTATTTTTGTACAGGAAATATTTAGTTATCTTTATGTTATGTCAAAATATGCATGTGGAATTTCTTGTCTTCCATGCAGGTACATTAAACTTTTTAGAGGAACTGTTGATTGACGTAACTGTTTTTCGTGGGTTTACAATGTTTAGTTGTAAGACAACACAACCTTATATCACAGAAACTACTGTTTTAGTGTAATGTAAAAAAATAAAGTGTAGGTAGAGAAATTTGGATGGATTTGGTATGAATTTCTCTAGAAAACAAAACAAAAACAAAACTGAGACTAACCAAAAGCAAAAACAAAGAACTGGAAATGAATTTGATTTGTAAGTGTGGCCTTCTTTAATTGTTGCATTTTTTTTTCATTACACATTGGGAACTTTGTGAATTGGGCTTGTCAATTCCGATACGTCCGAAGATGTGATTATGCTGTTGTTTGAGACGTGTGCCTTGGTCAAACTTTCAAGTATGTCCTGTCTGGTTTTTTTTCCAGGTCATCCCTGGACACCGAGGGAGTTTTCCCTAGCTAGCTGGGTGGTCAGGAAGTGGCGTTTCTATCGCTTCACTTCAATCAGGGTATGCTCAATCAAATGTTTTAAGTGTGTTATAATGTTCAAATATTGACTGCTTCAACGGATACATGTTCAGTCAGATGTTTTTAGTGTGTTATAATATGCAATTATTGACTGCTTCAAGAGATGCATGTTCAGTTAGATGTTTTGAGTGTGTTATAATATGCAAATATTGACCGCTTCAAACGGATGTATGCACACAATGTATACAGTGAAACAAGCCTCTTTTTACAGCCCTACGGCCATGCCCCCCCCCCCCCCCATATAAAAAAATTGAATTGCACTAAAACAGTATATCAGTTGCCTTCGGTGCCCCCTTGTCAAACTAGTGCCACCCCAGGTGCCCCCCTAGAAGTTTAACCCTTGTTATGCCGCTGTGTGTATTTCTTACAATTGTCAAATACCAGTTTTGGTGATATTTTGATGATAGTCTTTTCCTCTGTTTTTCTCAGGATGATCTGTGGGGTAACGCTATATTCCTGAAGGAGGCTAATGCCATTAGCGTGGAACTCAAGAAAAAGGTTCGTCAGCCAGTTTATCTAAAATCCACTCATTAAATTCTTCCGTTCAGGATATTGTGTTGAGAATTAGTTTCAGAACATCAACATTTACATGGGCAGCCTGTTTTTGTTGATCAAATCTTGTTTTGTGCTTAGAAATTGAGACAAGCTGCTGTTTTGAGAGCATGTGGTCTCTCAGTTTGTCAAGATGGCCATTTGGAAGTTACATTGTACATAGCTACGGCTTACAATCACACGTGTCAATGGAAGCGGCTAGAACCATTTCCCATAGACCCGTGTGTTAGTTCCAGCCGTAGGCAAGTCATTCGGACAAGGCCTATCGTTGTTTTTAGGGACCAGCCTCGACTCCATGGGCGCGTGTGTGTTCCTTCACTAACCCCTGGCCGTGATGTACACGTAAACGATGCTGACTGGCTCTTCAGAGCGTACTGCGCGGGCATTTCGAAGATTGCACGCCGGGCGCGCCCATAGTGCGCTCGCGTGCTTTGCACGTCACATCACATACGAATATTCAAAACTGCACGATGCCTGTACGATATGGATTATGGCCTCGTTTTTCGCAAAGAAAAATCTGTATCTGCGGTTGTAAAGGGACGAAAGGGGTACGTACATTTAATACAAATCTTTGCTAAATAACGCAACGTCCAAACCTTATGTTTGAAAGCATTGACTCTTCAAAAACACAACTTTCAACTTTTTAAAGATGGCGTCGGCGTGTAAAACGGATAAACTGCAGCCTAATTATAATGTGCCATATTTTGACACAATTAAATTACACAATTCCAGGGGTTGAGATTGCGCAAGGCATGATGGGAAACAACATGGCGCAGCAAGATCTCGTACCCATGGGAACGAGGTTGATTAGGGACGGTAATCAATGATGTATGGTTCCCCGTGTTCTCTAGGTTGAGTTCCAGTTTGTGCTGCTGACAGACACCATCTACTCCCCCCTGTCACCTGACCTCCTGTCCAGCTCAGATAACACAGACATCTTGGAGCATCCCTTCCCACGCACCGTGGTCGCTGTGGAGGTGACCGACAAGAAAAATGGAGCTATGCACTACTGGTCCCTGGAAAAACTAAGGTTTGTTATCTTATTCTCTCAACCAACTGGGGAAAAAAAAACATAAGAGTGATTAAGCTATGCATGTGTGCAGCTCTTATTGATCAATATTTCACTGGTTTCCACACACTTCGTCATGTTTTTAACCATTTCACGTCGGTTGACTTGTATACTCGCAAAAGGGTTTGCGGTATTAGGAACGGATGACAGATAAACACGCAATGAGCGAAGCTGGAAATATCTGTCGGCAACCCACTCGCAGCAAGCGAGGCCAGAAATATCAGGGTGTGCTACCTACAGATGACGGCCTGAACCCGTCTGGCATTGAGGTTTGTGAAAAACAATCCCACGCCTGGGTCCGGTCAATGTAAACATAATCCTGGCGCGAACTGGTTTAAAGTGCTTAGGATATTAAAACTTTTGCATTGCTTGCTGTTTATCATTGCGACTTTTTCCTCTGTCAATCAGGAAACGTCTAGAGTTAATGCGTGAGATGTACGATAACGCAGCCGATGCCACGCCCACCACCCCTGAACCGCTCGGCTTTGAGAACAGTGCCGTGACTTGCCGTGACCCCTTCTATGATCGGTTCCCATGGTTCCGACTCGTTGGAAGGTAGGAACGCTGTTTCTTTTGTTAGTTAAAAAAATCAAGTTGTCCTATTTCTGGCCACATTTGGCTGATGACGTTGATCTTTTTTCATTTGGCAGATCTTTTGTGTATCTGAGTAACTTGCTGTACCCTGTTCCATTGGTCCACCGTGTGGCCATCGTCAATGAGAAGGGAGACGTGCAGGGCTACCTGCGCATTGCTGTGCAACATGTAGCACCAGACGAGGAGGCACCAGACTATGGCTCGGGCGTGCGCCAATCGGGGACAGCCAAGATAGCATTCAATGATGACGAATACTTCCAGAGGAAGGTAGGTGTGCGATGGTTTCAGATTGTTCCTGAACGCAATTTCCCAGAAACCCTGGCATACTTAACCTCTCCTTCACGTGATTTGTTTTACTTTTAAAACTCAGTTCAAGCGTAGTCCTACCACTGTGAGCCAATCGGCGATCTCCGAGGATGAAGTCAGGATTGTGGAGGGACAGAGAGAAAACTCCGATCTTGGTGAGATGAATCTGTCAAAAAGTATACGCACTGACTGTATTGGGTTGCACATGTATTGCAAAGCTAGGTACTTCGTTGAGCCCTACATTTTCCATGTATTGTGTATCAATTACAGTTTCTGGAATGTGATCTGTTCAATAGGCTTAGAGGCATCCTTGATTATTTTTTAAGGTAATATACAACCTGTGTTTTTGCTGTAATTTTCAGAAATGGATGGTTTTGGGGATTTTTCTTTTATAGCAAATATGTTACACTGACCTATCTAAAGTTTTGTGTTTGTAGATGCTGGAAAAACCAAGACAAAATGGTGTTCTTTGTAGCTTGGTTTCCTGACCTTACTTCAAGCGAAGCGGTGCAATTTATAGATATCAAGGAATTGTCAAGTCAGGGAGCCAGACTAGCTGGCTTGCACCAATTCCCAGATGTGTAAATTTGGGGCAGTATTAAAAAAAAAAAGTCATTTCCCCCGCCCCCCCCCCAAGAAAAATAATTCCACTTTTCTTGAAAATGACAGCACATCAGGTTCCATGATTTCACATGATGCTTGAGACTATTATTCACTTACAGTCAAGTAAGGTATTTCATAATTATTTGGTAGTTTTATTAATGTTTGCAAATGTTGTATATCACCTGAAAATAAAATATCAAATCCTTTTTCAAACTTGGGTTCTGTTTACACATTTTGGAAAAAATTTTCTCATTGAAATGCGTAAACGTCACATCCTTAGATAATTCTCTCTCAGATATGATTGAGAAACAAGACGTTGAGGCAATGAGCACCACGGAGAGTATGACGTCAATCTCAACGGTAGACGTTCCAGAGAATGAATCGCTCAAGCTAGGGTCTACGTTCACATTCCGTGTCACTGTGCTACAGGCCTCCGGTATATCCACAGAATATTCAGACATCTTCTGCCAGTTCAAGTAAGTTTGGTTTTGGGTTGGAAGGCGAGTGACGCATTTTTGGCGTCTAGTAAATATCACTATGAAGATGGGTCCATTATAACCCATTCACCCCTGTACAACATTGTACTTGGATAATAAAACCGTAGAGTGCTGAGGCAATACAGGGAGTAACAGCCAGGGTGGTTTGGGGCGGTACAGGGAGTAACAGGCAGGGTGGTTTGGGGCGGTACAGGGAGTAACAAGCAGGGCGGTTTGGGGCAGTACAGGGAGTAACAGGCAGGGTGGTTTGGGGCAGTACAGGGAGTAACAGGCAGGGTGGTTTGGGGTGGTACAGGGAGTAACAGGCAGGGCGGTTTGGGGCGGTACAGGGAGTAACAGGCAGGGTGGTTTGGGGCGGTACAGGGAGTAACAGGCAGGGTGGTTTGGGGCAGTACAGGGAGAAACAGGCAGGGTGGTTTGGGGCAGTACAGGGAGTAACAGGCAGGGTGGTTTGGGGCAGTACAGGGAGTAACAGGCAGGGTGGTTTGGGGCAGTACAGGGAGTAACAGGCAGGGTGGTTTGGGGCAGTACAGGGAGTAACAGGCAGGGTGCTTGGGGGCAGTACAGTGAGTAACAGGCAGGGTGGTTTGGGGCAGTACAGGGAGTAACAGGCAGGGTGTTTTGGGGCAGTACAGGGAGTAACAGGCAGGGTGCTTGGGGGCAGTACAGGGAGTAACAGGCAGGGTTGTTTGGGGCGGTACAGGGAGTAACAGGCAGGGTGGTTTGGGGCAGTACAGGGAGTAACAGGCAGGGTGGTTTGGGGCAGTACAGGGAGTAACAGGCAGGGTGGTTTGGGGCAGTACAGGGAGTAACAGGCAGGGTGCTTGGGGGCAGTACAGGGAGTAACAGGCAGGGTTGTTTGGGGCGGTACAGGGAGTAACAGGCAGGGTGGTTTGGGGCAGTACAGGGAGTAACAGGCAGGGTGGTTTGGGGCAGTACAGGGAGTAACAGGCAGGGTGCTTGGGGGCAGTACAGGGAGTAACAGGCAGGGTTGTTTGGGGCAGTACAGGGAGTAACAGGCAGGGTGGGTTGGGGCGGTACAGGGAGTAACAGCCAGGGTGGTTTGGGGCGGTACAGGGAGTAACAGGCAGGGTGGGTTGAGGCAGTACAGGGAGTAACAGGCAGGGTGCTTGGGGGCAGTACAGGGAGAAACAGGCAGGGTGGTTTGGGGCAGTACAGGGAGTAACAGGCAGGGTGGTTTGGGGCAGTACAGGGAGTAACAGGCAGGGTGGTTTGGGGCAGTACAGGGAGTAACAGGCAGGGTGGTTTGGGGCAGTACAGGGAGTAACAGGCAGGGTGCTTGGGGGCAGTACAGTGAGTAACAGGCAGGGTGGTTTGGGGCAGTACAGGGAGTAACAGGCAGGGTGTTTTGGGGCAGTACAGGGAGTAACAGGCAGGGTGCTTGGGGGCAGTACAGGGAGTAACAGGCAGGGTTGTTTGGGGCGGTACAGGGAGTAACAGGCAGGGTGGTTTGGGGCAGTACAGGGAGTAACAGGCAGGGTGGTTTGGGGCAGTACAGGGAGTAACAGGCAGGGTGGTTTGGGGCAGTACAGGGAGTAACAGGCAGGGTGCTTGGGGGCAGTACAGGGAGTAACAGGCAGGGTTGTTTGGGGCGGTACAGGGAGTAACAGGCAGGGTGGTTTGGGGCAGTACAGGGAGTAACAGGCAGGGTGGTTTGGGGCAGTACAGGGAGTAACAGGCAGGGTGGTTTGGGGCAGTACAGGGAGTAACAGGCAGGGTGCTTGGGGGCAGTACAGGGAGTAACAGGCAGGGTTGTTTGGGGCAGTACAGGGAGTAACAGGCAGGGTGTTTTGGGGCAGTACAGGGAGTAACAGGCAGGGTGCTTGGGGGCAGTACAGGGAGTAACAGGCAGGGTGGTTTGGGGCAGTACAGGGAGTAACAGGCAGGGTGCTTGGGGGCAGTACAGTGAGTAACAGGCAGGGTGGTTTGGGGCAGTACAGGGAGTAACAGGCAGGGTGTTTTGGGGCAGTACAGGGAGTAACAGGCAGGGTGCTTGGGGGCAGTACAGGGAGTAACAGGCAGGGTTGTTTGGGGCGGTACAGGGAGTAACAGGCAGGGTGGTTTGGGGCAGTACAGGGAGTAACAGGCAGGGTGGTTTGGGGCAGTACAGGGAGTAACAGGCAGGGTGGTTTGGGGCAGTACAGGGAGTAACAGGCAGGGTGGTTTGGGGCAGTACAGGGAGAAACAGGCAGGGTGGTTTGGGGCAGTACAGGGAGAAACAGGCAGGGTGGTTTGGGGCAGTACAGGGAGTAACAGGCAGGGTGGTTTGGGGCAGTACAGGGAGCAACAGGCAGGGTGGTTTGGGGCAGTACAGGGAGTAACAGGCAGGGTTGTTTGGGGCGGTACAGGGAGTAACAGGCAGGATGTTTTGGGGCGATACAGTAACCATGGGCTAATGCAGAGAGGGAGGCAGGGAGAGGCAGAAGGGCTTTCACAAGGTTGTGTTTGAGCTATTTAGAGCCACAATTGCAGCACTGAGTGTTCAATGTCTCGGGGAGCTGAGATGGTATGTGGAATGTTTGGGATGAGGAAGAGTAATAAGCACCTAGAGTACCAATATTTGCAGATAAAAGCGCTTTGTTAATACAATTGTTACTATTGAAAGGTAGATTAGACCATTTGCAGCTAAAATAACCAACCAGATTATTGTGAAAAAGTTAACTTGGTTTAACCTTAAAGGGGCTTGGGGCGGATTCCCCCCCCCCCCCCCTGACTTTGCGACCCGAGCTGTTATGACTTTTTAGCCTCGAGCCTTGCACATCTTTTGATACCAAAAACATGATAATCGGACCACGGGTAGCCACGCAGCGAAAAATGTTCCTGAATTTGTCCAAATACGTAGTGTACTCGGAGCAGAATTACCATTCGTGCATATGAATAACTAATTAGCCATAATTCCAAAACCCTTTGACCTATAGTCATGACATTTCTTGGGTATGTTCATGATAAGTTACTCTATGAATGTACTGAGTTTCAAAATTTTTCGTCACTCGATGGTCGAGATCGTAGGGGGAGGGTGGAATCCGGTCTCGGATTTTGCGCGTTCCACGCCCATTTGTATATGTAATTGGACAAGATTTTACAAGCTGCGTTTACGTGAATTTAACGCGATTCTACCGAGAAAGGTCAATTGGAAGGAAACCAAAGAAGATCATTTCAGAAGATGTGTCATGTGACACATTTTTGGAAAGTTCTGTAAATCCGCTTCCCCCTCATGCTTTCTAATTTGTAATTGGTTTGCAATTGGTTGGAGGATGACAACCTTCTCGCATGCTGTCAATTTTAAATGTGTCATATGGCACATTTTTGGACATTCCTGTGAATCCGTTTTTCCAATGCATTCTAATTTGTACTTGGTGTGCCATTTCGGAATCCACAAATGGTTTACAACCCTCTGGCATGGCAATTTTAAGAAAACAAAAGATCATTTCCAGAGATGTGTCATGTGACACATTTTTGGAAAAATCTGTGATTCCCCCCATGCATTCTAATCTGTACTTGGTTTACAATTGGGGGATTCATGAATGGGTGACTGCTTTCTCGCATGCTGTCCATTTCCAAAGATGTGTCAAGTGACACATTTTTGGATTTATTTTTGTGAATCTACCTCCCCAATGTGTAAGTTGTTCTTGGTTTGCTTTTGGGGGATCCACCAATGGGTGACAACCTCGCATGCCGTCAGTTTCCAAAGATGTGTCAAGTGACACATTTTCCGAAATGTCTTTGAATCTATTTCCCCCCCCCCCCCCCCAATGGGTTCTAATTTTGTTCATGGTTTTCATTTGGAGAATCCACGAATGGGTGACAACCGGCTGAATGAGAATCATGTCCTGAATGCTGATTTGGGGAATGGTCATAAAAGGATAACATTTCAAAATTTGACTTGCCAACTTTGGAATTCGAGATCCAGAATATTGTGGTTATGTTTGTTCGGTTCTCTTGAAATTTACAACAGTTATTAAGCATCCTTGTTTAGATTTTGAGCACTAATTTGTTGGTTGAAACAAAAGAAAACTGATCTACTACAAATGGTCTAATCTACCTTTAAATTTGGAAACATTTTAACTCCAGCAAAATTTATCTTGTATTATTTGTGGCATTAAATTTGCTTTGCAACTACAAGGGCAGTAATACTGGTAGGTATAAACCAGCCTTGACTCTGGAATTTTGAGTTGTGTAGTCAAACCATCAGAGCTGGTATTTTTTTTTTAATTTCAAGGGTACGTACATGTAGCCATGTCAAATATTTTTGTTTGGGAACATTTATTTCATTTCATTGGTACCAAAGCAATGTAGATTATGCCCTCCTTGAAATCACCAGTTCTGCTTATAACATCATTATTTCTGCTGGACAAAAAAGTCCAGTCTGTGTCGTCCTCCGATTGACCGACTGAGTCATAAACTGACTGACTCTGAGTAAATATTGCCTTCCATTTTTTGGGTCCAGCTTCACTCGGCAAACTGTCTTGTCAAGTTGGTACAATGTACATGTAATGCAGCTTATAACTAAAAATGACCGAACCGCAAGCCAGATAACAAAAAAAAAAAATCTGAATCTCTGGCATGCTTGGAACCATTGTTGCCTCTAATTCCATTCCCATCGGTGTCAGCTTCCATCATCGACACGACGAAGCCTTCTCCACGGAACCCTTGAAGAACACAGGCAAAGGCCCTCCTCTGGGCTTTTACCATGTCCAGAATGTAAGTGGGTTCATATACACCCTACGGAATGATAATAAAAAAAATGTTGCTTGCAAAGCCACTTGGTGTACCATCTCTCTGTACATGTGTTTGTGGCTGTGTGTGGCTGGGGATGTGGCATGAGGGTGGGGATCTGACCAGAGAATTGTCCATTAAACATGGCTCAGCATTTTCATTGATCACATGACTGTGCATTATGACAAAGTTGCATTGACTGTTTAAAGAGTTTGGCATTCAACAAATAGTAGTTTGAAATCACTAAATATTCCACGGATTCACACTCCAATCCAAAACTATATAAAGTGACACAAAATTAGTGATAAAAAGACCAAAAATCTATTTTCAAAAATCTTGTGATACTTGAAAACAAAAAGAAATCTCCATGAAAAAAAAATCCATGTTACCCCTCGGCCAACACACCTGCACATGTACGATTGTCACCACGTCACGTCTTTCCGTTGACTTTTCTTTTCAACATTTTGACACCCTTTCATTGTTTTTGCTTCACAGTGGCTCATTAAACCCCCCCCCCAAAAAAAATTGTTTTGACAAAAACTAAAGACCAGTAAATGACCGCGTTGTTGCCCTGCACGGCTCTTCGCTATTTCGTTCTTTTAGTTTTCTTTTCTTTTAATTCCGCAGTCTGCTTCATGGGCGCGAGGCCTTTGTCACACAGCCTGTGCAGAACAAGGTGCAGGGGGGCGGGGCGCCACTCGGGTTTTACTTTGTTCAAAGTGTAAGTCGGTACATTATTGTTGTTGGGGCAAAAACCACAAACGCTGGCAGCTGTGGCAGAACTTAGAATAGATATAACCCATTCTTAGAGACCAATCAGGCTTCACTTCGGTTGTGCGTAGTTTTTTGCTCTTTGTGTATAAATTTACAGTGTTTTAGTTTTGCTTGTATATGTACATGTAATAGCAAACGCAAATGTTGCTTCTGCCTTTTTGTTTTTTGGGATCAAAGTAAGGTAGAAGAAATAACAGAAGTTATCCATATTCTGGAATCTTGGTTAACCCCTTAAGGACGGGGTGTAATGGGGACATTCCTCCACACATAGAGCAAGTGGCCCGCATGACTGCACAGCCTTTGTGTGGTAGCGGGACTGCACAAAAGCTGCAGCTGTGGAACTACCCACTAGCCCTGTGCCACGGCATACCACAGCTGACAACTGCATTCCAATGATGGTGGGAATTGAAGTAATGAATTTAATACAAGAATTAAAAAGTTCCTACCATTTGTGTTTGCTACGTGTACTGTACATGTATATGAGGGTTTTTTTTATATGTGCCCATTGAAAAGATTTTTCTCATGACTTTCTCCTCATTTTCCCCATGAAATTCATTTCTTTATAGTTTATACTTTATGACATTATACATGTTCATTTTATTTGATTTTTGTTTGTTGTTGATTTGAAGCATCCTAAACATCCGTTGTCTTATTCATGATATTCCATTGTAAACTTGATGTTGATGGATCCGTTAACATTACATTTTTCGAGAGGTTGCATTCTGTTATATTTCAGGAAACAAATGAAGTTACCAAAAAGTGATTACATTGAAAATGACAACCAATATGCATTTATGATTCATTTCCAGTTTGATTTTTTCAAGCTGATTCTTTCTACAATTTTGATTGCCGTGAAGCTTTCCCATGGCATTTGTGCCTCGTCAAAGTTTCTAAAAAGCAAAATAGCTTTTTATTAAACTTACATCAGTCAGTCCAGACAAAGGCCTCCCGTTTTCATGTATTGAGTTTAGAATATACCACACATATTCTAAACCCGACATAGAAGTAGTATAGTTGTCATTGTTACCCGTAATTTCTGTGCAGTATAGCATTGGTTGTAGATGCTTTTTTAGATTTCTTGCACTTTTGTTTCATTATTGGCTAAGCTATATGAACGTTATTTGTATGCGTTATTGGACTTGAATTGCAGTTCAGCCTGTATTTTATACTGAATAACTAGCATAGGGTCAAGTGAACCTTTGAAGCAAAAAAAAAAACCAAAGATTTCAGTGAAGTATGACCTTTTCGCATCACTTTGGTGGATTTCTGATTTGCTGAAATCTGGGTGACGATTTTTAGTCCTGTCAGTCGCAAGTCAATCACACGTCAATCAAATGAAATGACAAGTATTGCCTTCATATCAGCAGACAGTGGCAAAGGAACGCTTGAGTTTATTTCAATAGTTTGTGACTTGACTTGAGGCTGGATGACGTGTAATTGACTTGTGTGAAGTCTTGCCCACAACACTGCTTTGTTCCTGATTTACCACTGCATGACCCTTGTCAGTTTGATCGCATCATTGCATACTATTTCCACCTTCTAGATTTCCGTGACCGTGACCAAAGCGTTCCTTGACTACGTCCGCACTTCACCCATTGTCTTTGAGGTGTTTGGCCACTATCAGGCCCATCCTCTGCATCACCAAAGCCAAGAAACTACCAGGTACAAAAGCAGTTCAAGGGCCTATGACATGAATTTCACTTGGGAACATATTTTGTGCAACTTTCTCCTCTTCGTAAATGTATGGAAAGTACTTGACATCCCTGTTTGGTTAATCTTATTGAAAAGTGCACATTTAAAATTGTCCATGCTTTTTCTGACTAATGAGGGCGCTGTTGCTGTGATGTCATTTTAGGAAGACACTGTTCAGATTAAGGGTTTTTTGTTCAAATTGTGAACCCAAAATTAGTTAATTAAAAACATTTGTGAGAAAAGTTTGCTCATTGGCTTACTGTCATGTACTGAGACAACTCGAATCACCAAAGAAAGAAAAATTGAACCACATTCTGGCAAATTTTGATGCTGATATGAGCTCCGTGCGCTACCAAAAGAGGACGCCCTTTTACCTAACAACGACGTCTCATGGGCGGGGCATTTCGCTGGTTGACGCTCACCGTTCCTTGTGTGTGACGCACGTACACCAGGGGATTTGTTCTATTTACACGCAGTGGCCGCGCTTCGCGGCAAATGAATTGCAGTCAGGCAAGATGGCGTCGGTTGGTCACCCCCAACTGTACTTCCTTTGCCGGTTAGGGGGTACTTGTGAACGGAGCGGATAGCTGTAACATTGAGGTTTCTGCCTGAAATGACATCACACTTTTGCTTATAAATATGCAAATTTGTATTAACATAAAAGTCAACAAGGCGCCAGAATGCCCTTAAAAATGGCAAAATGAAAATGAATTATTAGGGTTAATGGGACACAAAGGTGCATTTACTAGGACAGCATAAAGACAATCACATTGGGCTCTCTAATGGGCTCTCTAACATATTGAATGTGTCATAAAATGTGATCTGATGTTGGACATGATGCAGAAGTTTCCAGAGCTACTTGAACCCATGAGCACTTGTATTACATTGTACTACACTGTATATACTCCATGATGAACCCATTAGCTCTTGTATTACATTGTACTACACTGTATATACTCCATGATGAATCCATTAAACCATAGAGTACTGGGGCAGTTTGGGTCAGTATAAGGAGTAACAGACAGGGAGCTTTGGGGTGATACAACAAATCTGTTAAAGTTAGGGGTTCTGAAATAAACTTTGAAATGGATGTCAATAGACTTATTTTTTAAAATATGTTTTTGCAGATTGCGACCACTGAAGCGGAACTTTCCTCCCAGCCTTCCTCTTGCCAGACCAGGTACAAATGTTACCCCCAGTCCAGGTCTTGGAGCATTTCCAGTTGCTTATCCATCCATCTTCTGTTTATAATCGTTGGTGCCATTTTGTTTTGACGGCCATGAGTTGCATAAATTTCCTTTTTATTTGGCTCAAAATGACACATCTAGGCCATCTCATTCTGCACTAAAGAGGGAGGAACCTTTATCTAGATTTTGGTTGTAAAGACAAATCTGGCGGCAGCCATTTTCTAGGGGGCCGCTCATAAGTCCGACGCCTCATAAGTCTGAAATTTCGGACTTATGAGGCGTCGGACTTATGAGGCGTCGGACTTATGAAGCGTCGGACTTATGAGGCGTCGGACTTATGAGGCATACAATTTATTTATTCTGCATCATAGGTCTGACGCCGCATAAGTTTGACGCCTCATAGCTCCGACGCCTCGTAAGTCCGAAATAGCGTTTGTCCATTGTCAGACTTAAGAGGCGTCGGACTTATGATACGGCCCCATTTTCTATGGTGGCGACAGGCTTGCGCGAGTCGTGCTCAGGTTGTACGCACACACTCCGGGCTCCTTCGACCAATAGGAATACAGATATGCTCGTGCACCTCGTCTTTAAGAACGCGCGCAGCATGCATGTTAGCGTGACACCACCGCAGTAAAAGCTTCTAATTCTTTTCACCGGATTCCACTATAGTTTATTTAAAACTTTACCGAGCATCACATGGGACACATACATTTAAATTTATAAAAAAAAGTTTTGTTATTAAGTTTTGCAATGATGGCTGCTCATAGTTTGCCAAGCACTGTTTGGCAAAAGCTACGATAACCAGAAGTGTGTCCAATCTTTGGGAGACTAAGGCCCCAATAGTCAACTACGTACGATCAACTAGCTTGTGTTCAACTGAAGCTAGTCGTCCATTAGAGGAATGGATACTGGCTTGCACCACAAGCCATAAAATGATGAAATCAAATACTTACTGGTGGATAATCACCTTAAGTTCTGTAGTCAACCAAAGTTGCAAACCTGTAAGCAAATTTGCAAACCTTTGATGGGAGATGAAGCTTCAATAGTAATTGATACTGTTGTTTACCAACTAGTTCCATCGCCTAAGCTCGGCCTGGTTAGCACGCCGAGTACCAGTCATCTTCATTCACGACATGATCTACTGGTCTTCTTTGAGATCTGTGAACTCGCACCATCAGGAGAGTAAGTAACTTCAGAAATTTCCTTCAAAATGTGTTCTTAAAATTGATAAATCTGGCCTCGAATTACTCCCACAAGCATGTGGTTTGTTTATGGTGTAAGTCGAGGACACACACATGCAACATCATCGATGAATCGAGGACAGGAGCCAAATCGAGGATGACCTCGATTAGAAAACGTGTACAAAATCAATGAGACCTGTAGCAAAAAAATTAAGAGTATAAACAAAGGAAAAGGGAAGAGAAACAATAGAAAATCCTCGATTTACACCATAAACAAACGTGCTAGTGTGTGAGTGTGTTTGTGTCCTATATGACCTGAAGCCAACAGCCGAGTGTTTATGGAACACAGACGCACTGCATTAAAGGGAAAATACAACATTTGCAAACATCAAAAAATAAAAACTACCAAATCATTTTGAAATACCTTGCTGGACTGTTAGTGAATGACAGTGTAAATCATCCTGTAAAATCGTGGCATCTGGTATACTGTCATTTTCAAGAAAAGTGGTATTTTTGTATCAATTTCCAACGCTGATCGGCCGACCAGCGTTGGAAAAAACTGGGTTTTTTTTCAAATACTGGCCCCAATTGACCATCGCACTTGTTTGCAATCGATTACACACCTATGAACGGGTACAAGCCAGCTAGACTGGTTCCCTGACCTTACAATTCCCCAATGTATGCAAACTGCTCTGTTTCTTCTTATATGGAGTCAGGGAGCCAGACTACAGGAAAATGATTGTTTTCCTTGGTTTTTATAGCATTTTCGAACCCCAAACCTCAAAAAAGTCAGTGTAACTATATTTGCTATATATTTCCAACCCCCAATTCCATCCATTTCTGAAATTACAGCAAAAGCAAATGATGTATATTCCCTTTAACCATGTTAACCTTGTTCCAGTATCGAATCTGTTTAAACTCTTTAAAAAGTCCATTACTAGTAAGTATCAATTTATCCAGTCCCAAGTCAATGTCAGTGGCATTCCTTTGTTATTGTTCATCCTCAATTACTTGTGACTGGCATTGTAATTGACTTGTACCTTTCTTGTAACTGAACTTGTGTTCAACTTGTGATGGACGCCACTCCAACAAGGTTGCTGTATATCTCCGTTTCTTTAGGTATCTTCCTGCCGTGGTAGACCACAGCGATGAGTTACCATGTAGTGGTGTGTACCTCCTACATCAGGGTATCCAACGACGTATTGCCATCACCGTCATCCATGAATCGTCTAACGAGCTCATCTGGAGAGATGTCAGGGAACTTGTGGTCGGTAAGGAGTCAATCCGATTAAATATCCAGGACAAAATGTGGACTGGTTAATCTGCACTCGGTCTGCGATAGCCTGAATTAGTAGCAGAAGTCTAAAAAACTTCCCTGTATTAACCAAGTTATCAGTTTGCAAACGGCCGATAACTTGCTGGAAGATTCTGGGAAAGTAATTCAGAATCCTGCAACTAGTACCGATACAGTGAGCCACAACAGTGACTAGGCACTGTTATATAATAATAATAATTCGGGGAGATAAGCATCCTTACTCTCAGCTGAGAAGCTGAATTGCGAAAGACGCGGCTACAACGTGGTCAAGCCGCAGGCATGTAAAGGCGCCTTAGGCAGCCGCCATATGCCCCATGTCTGATTACGGAGCACAGCCAGAGATCGAAAGTGCTGATTTTTGCAGAGGGAGGTAAGCCGGAGAGCCCGGAGAAAAACCCTTGTGGCACAGGAGAGAATCAATGAACAACTCTACTCACTTATGGTCTGAGCCAGGACTCGAACCTGGGACACAGCGGTGAGAGACGAGCACTTGCCACCCATGCCAAACATATTTAGCTTAGAAGCAGAAAGAAAAGGCGGGGGGGAAGACACTCAAGAAATGTTCCATGAAAACCCAAGGAATCAGGCAGGGACTGCATAAACAAACCAACATGTTGATCAGGTTAGGATTTGAACCTTGGTCACAGAGGTGGAAGGTGGAGAAGTACAATTGCACCAATGTGACTTGGTTTTTTCTTTCTTTCAGGTCGTATTCGGACGACCTTGGAAGTGACAGAACCAGATCATGAGCTGTCTGTCCTGTCACTCAATCTGCTGCCAGCAATGTACATACAACAACCAGGAGACGACAGGTAAGCATCGCTAATAACCTGAGTGGATTTCTGGTAGAAAAGTATGCATGTCATTTTTATTTGCCTCACCATTACTATTGTGTATTTTGTATAGGACCTGTTTCCGCTTTGAGGCGGCATGGGACACCTCCCTACACAATTCGGTGTTGCTTAACAGAATGACCCCCTATGGTGAGCGGGTCTACCTTACACTCTCTGCTTACCTGGAGGTAAGTAGGAACGTGGTAACGACAAGATTTTTTGTTATATTCTTGATTTCTTTCTTTACTTCTCCTTTTCTATTTTTCCCTCGTCTTTAATTTGAGATAATCATTGGAACCATTTTGATACTGTTTTTGCTATATTTTTTGCCAGATATTTTGTTTTTACTTCTTTCGTTCTTAATAATAATATGAAAAAATAATAATGTGCTTATATATCGCTTCACAATTATTATCCCTGTTCATCAGGAATGAGACAATGTTTTTGCAGCTGCTCAAGATCAGCGCAATTTGCTCTCTACCTTCACATGTACCCATTTATACTCCTAGGCAGAGAGAAGCAATTGTAGTAAAGTGTCTTGCCCAAGAACGCAAGGGCAGTGTTCCTTGTCGGCCTGGGTCAAACCCACAGACCATGGCACACGAGTCGAACACCGCAAAATTTGATCCACAGCACCGGTTAATGATGTCAATATAAAAAAAAAAAGGAATTACAGGCTCTAAGCAATTGGCTTCAGATTGTGAGTAAGGCCGTGTCTGGATTGCTTGTCTAGAACTATTGTCTAGGTCTTCGTCCATTACGACTACATGGGATTATGCTGACATAACCTTGGATAGTCAAGGTACAAGACTAAGATTTGTTAATTTTGTTCTCGGTTTACCAGCTGGATAATTGCACCCAGTCTGCCTGTATAACCAAAGACATCTGTCTACAGATGTATGAACGCGATGCTCGTATCAGCCCAGCTCGCTCACTGCGTACCCTCTTCGGTAGTGGCTACTACAAGGCATCTGACAGGTAATATGCCCCCCCCCCCCAAAAAAAATGCCTCCCCCCCCAAAAAAATGCTTTTTTCAAATTATCACCAATTTTTAGAAACTGTGATGGATTTGAATGTTGCATTCATGAATTACGGTGCATTTTAATGAAGTACTGTGGTATAAACTTGAAACTGAAATTAAAACCGTAAACAAATGATGTTAAATTTAATAAATGAAAGTAAATTTCTGTTGAATGTGTTAAATTGCCAATAGCCATTCAAGGCATGCGTATGTTCGAAAGCTAATCTTCTTTGACAAATGAAAATCATTTAAGGTTATTTGGACTCAAAATTTATTTTGTTGTAAATTACACTATAATTGTTATGTTTTTGGTTGCAGTCGTGTGACCGGGGTATATGAATTATCACTGCGTCGTTCCGCGGAAGCTCTGAGCCCAGGTATGATTTAGTGAGAGTATTATTAAGTTTACAGTTTTTGTATCAATTTCTGCATTCATGTACTTCAGAGAAGTTTTTGAATTGAACTAAAAAATCAATTTCAATCTTAGGGAAATTGGCGTCTGGCCTGTAGATTTCCAAAAAGTAACTGACCAAATTATTCTTAAAAAGCTTACTTAGTATGAAGATAGTAATGGCAATACACTCCCTGTGAATTAATTCTTTTTGCCATGCTGTCATTTTGAAGAAAACATTGAAAGAAGGCCATCTCAAAGATGCGGCAACTGACACATTTTTGGAATTTTTTTGTTAGTAGTTGGTTTGTAATTTGGCGAATCCGTGAGTGGGTGTGCGCAAGTGTTGAAACGATGCATATGCACGCGGTTGCTATTTTTCGTCTGTTCAGTGTGTGACATCGCGTAGCTGCTATCGGCTGAATGAGAATGTGTCCCGGACGCTAATTTCGGGCGCAATTCAAAACATGACTCTGCACCTTTTGAATTGCAATCAAGATGCTAGAAAATTGTTTACTTGGAATATACAGCATTCATTGAGCTAAAAGTTCATCAGGTTAGTTGCTAAGCACCTGTCTGTAGATTTTGAGCACTTTTGTTGCTTCAAACAGAAAAAAAATACACAAATGCCAAATGATCTTCTCTACCTTTAACTTGTGCATTGTGGCTTCATGTAGTATGAAGTCTGAAATTTGACAATGTTATCTCAAACTGTTTTCTAAAGTTCCTCTAAATCAAGATGGAATTGTTTTTGTCCTGAGTGTTCCTGTGAAATTCAAATTGCCACAATGACAATCAAATCCCACTGAAGGCACTGTATTGATGAGTGTTGCCATATTATGGGACATGGCCCTGAATTCAGCCCATATGCTTTGGTTTGCTAGTTCAAGCCAGCTGGTAGATTAGACATGTGCCTATGTATGACATGGATGTGACATTGTTTTATTCATTTCAATTTCTGTTTCTACGTTTGCTTTGAAGTGATTTTTCTGGTCTGAATTTGTTAATTTGTGGTTGGCTGTTGCAATCAAAAATATTTCTTTATTCCAGGCATTTCAGTCTTTACAAAGTAAAAGACGTCTAAAAATGCTTCTAAAAATGTGGCCCCTTTTAATTGTTGGACTGCATGTTCTAAATGCATGATCAGGCATATTCTATATTTTATTCATCATTCAAGTTATTCTATAACTTATTCATCAAACATTTCACAATATTTTAAGAAAAGAAAAATTTGTGTGTAAGATTTTGCTTCACTGTGATTTTGTTGTCATTTTGAAAGAATAAGACCCAAAATTATGAAGTGATAAGAAACTAGTGCAGTGCATGCCCAAAGACCATTTTCTGCTCTTTCGGAAACTTCTGCTCCCCATCAAAGATTTTTGGGAAAGGAAGCGACACAGGCTTCCAATATTTTTTTCCAGAAGTACATATATGTTTATGTAGCTTAAGTCTTTTTAGACTTGAAATCAAGCCGGTAATTGGCCGGGTTTAGTCTGCCGGGGCCGCTGCGTATCATACCGTACCGCCTGCACTGGCGTTGACACAGTACAGCACTATACGCATACAGTACCATTCAGGGTTATGTGTAGTGTGCGGTAAAATAACGTGCGGGATCGTTCAGTGCAACCTCAGCCCCAATATGTGTGTGCGTCGTTTCAATTACCGACTTGAAACATCTGCAAGCCCTTGAGCACAAGTGTATGGAGCTTGCTACCAAAATTGGACGGAGCACTCTGATTGGCTAAGAATCAGGAGGATATGAATATGTATTTTGTTTACCCGTCTCGCTCGGTGCAGCACCGATCCCGGTCCCACGGGTGTCATATGTCACTGACGCGCGTGGTGAATGCTTCTAGTTCACCGTGCAACACAGGCTGGATTGAATCGATTGCTTGACTCAGAGTGGCTGAAAGCTAATTCCTTGATCGTTTGGAATCCACGCATCACGGACAACACACAGCAGTGCTTAACAAAACACGACAGTGTCTAACGACTTGATTTCAAGTCTAAATTCTTTTGTTTATTTGTTCACGTTTTGCTTTGCTTCATTCATTACAATGTTACAGTACACGTAGCTGGGCTCATTTCCTGATTTTGTTTTACATAATTTACGTCTTCCTGCATTAAATACCTTTTTATTGCCTTGGTCATCCAGGTTATATGAAATTTCTTCTCTTAATCAATAGTCTATGCCTTTTGTTATTTTGTTTTTGGTAAAATGCTTTTCTTCGATTTCTATAACTTTGTTCTCTAATTCATCTATAGATCTGTATTTTCATTTTGTTCTGTTTATCCCCTCTGTAGTCTGTTTGTTGGTCAACTGATGTATTTGTACACTACAGTGTATGTTTCTAGTTATTCTACACTATAATGATATTGTACCAACTTGTAGTAAATAAGGGACACACTCACAGAAAGTTTGCAGTGGCGGATTTGAGAGAAGTTTGGAAGATTTCCAGAAGCATGATCAAAAGAGCCATTATACGTGTTGGAGAATAAGTTGAAATTGCAAGGGTTATTGGCATTTCGAAGAATTTCAATGTATGGTAAAATTTCAGGCTGAAGTATCCTTTAAGTTTGGCAAACTTGTCCACATGACTTTGTAATTCTTATCCTAATGGCCTTAGTGTGTGGAGAATGTGGGCCCAGGCATGAGCTTGTTTAGCTTCCCTCTGTACATCAAAACATGGACCAATGCAGGCATGCAACTTGTCATCAGATCAGCTAATTTCCTCTTTTTCACTTCACACTTGTATAAAGTATAAAGCTGGGAATCTCTTTTTTGTAACTTCCTCGTTGCATGCCTGCCAATGGTAGTAGTGCATTTGGGAAACAACCCATGAATATATTTGAGGTTCAAATAGTCGTGCTCAGACATGGTATTTTCAACTATTTAACACCTGTACCTTCACAAACATGTATGTAATTTCCTAACGGTCTCAACCTTGCTTTCTATGGAAAACCTGACTTTCATTTTGTGTTGTAATTTTTCCTAACTGCCCTACATTATGACAGATTCAGCACACTCCCCATTCTTTCCTGCACCTCTTGTCTTATCTCTGTCGCGTTGGTGTACTTGCTTGTATTATTTTCCCCCTCATGATTTTTGGTTTGTTTGTTTGTCTAACTCATTGCCTTTCTGTGGCCCGATCCAGCAGGGCTATCTTTCAGTCAATATGATCTGAGAGACCTACTGGAATCGACTTCGCCTGGGGCTAACACTCCCCAGACTAGTGGTAAGACTTATCTCTGGCCCCTCCTCGATACTCGTACCCAAGACATGCAAAACTGAGGGCCTGGTACAGGCTGATTTTAGGAAGTGTTTCATTGGGCAAATTTGTATGCAGTGTATTCTGGGTAACATTATATATGCCAGTATTTTAAGCAATCATGAAGGCTTTCACAGCGCCTAAGGCTAGCTGTACTCTATGCAAGTCAGTTGTGTGTACCGGTAGGTTCATCCACGGTGCTTTGTGTTTCCATCAGCAAGTCATTGTGATGTTTGATTCTGGCCTGTACCAGGGAATCTCAGCGGAGAGCTCATGGGTACGAGTGAATGTAACACCTCGACAAGTCAGGGCCGACTTAGGGAGTCAAAAGTTGGAGGGATGCAGGCGAACATAGTCTTGAATCAAATGATGAGTGACCAGTGACATTGATGTACATGTAGATATTGCCTTTTCTTTCCAGTCTGTGTTATGAATCTTTGTTTCCTCTCGAAACTGTGTCCAAAAACTTGAAACTTGTTTTGATAAAAAGAGCATTTCTGTGTTTCTCTCTTTAACTCTCACTCTTTCACTCTGTATAAATATTGAAGCAGCATTAGGTATGTCCATATCTCAATTTTCTATCAGACGAATATGTCATTTGCACATGTCAAGAGTACATGTATATTCACACATCATGGATATTTTTGTTCTATTATTTAAAAAGTTTTGTTTTCATTGGCTGAGAATAACACAAAAAGTTTGCTTCTCTGCATGACTTTTCTCAGATTGTAAAGTGGGATTATTTTTTTTAATTTGGACTCGAAGCATGGCCAAAATAATGTCATGGTAACTTGCTATTATTGTTGACTTTGAGTTCATACATGTGGCAAAAAAAAAATCATGAATATGTTGACATTTTTGTCATTTCTATCACATTTCGGGGTAAAATGTGCTTAAGATAGATTTTATTAATGTCAACTTGTTATTTTAGAAAGAAATACTCTTTCTTTATGTCTGTGTATCCTTGCCTAAGCACATTGTACTGTGAAGATATTTTTCTAAAAAGTGTACTCGTGCTTCCTCAAGACTTCTTCAAACTTCTCAGTACTTTTCTTCCAACTTTTGACTCCCTGAAGCGCTCAATATGTGGTATACCGTATATGTAGCATGCCGTGTACCAGAACCCCTGATAAATACCCCCATACACATCCTAATACACACATAGGCACATGTGTAATCCCCATCAGTTCATAAAGAAGTGATATTAGAATAGGATGGTATTTGTGTGTGTGTGTTTAGACGATATGTTAATGTACCGATGTCTCATTGCATGTACCATCGATACAAAAATGTTAATTTTCAAGGTAAAATGTGTGATTATGTTGAAGTAAAGAATTTTGTTTGCTGAAGGACCTGAAAAGAGTGTCTATTCTTAATACAGAAACCAAATGTTACCACCGAGTAAAGGAAATCTGAGTGTCATTTTACTTGCACAATAAAACCCACACAATCTTGTTCCATAGTTGTGGGGACCACAGGCCTGTTGAGCGATAGTTATTATGGGGACTGAAGACACTATAGGGACAGCAGAAAGTCCCTATAACCCAGTCCCAATTTCCCTTACAATAGAGAACTTCCCATAACGCAGTGAGGGCACATTAACACACACTCAAATTGAAAGTATTGAAAAATGTGTGTTGACTGCAATCTGTGAAGGTTTACCATGGAGAGATATAGTCTGAGTACATGTACATGACATTCTTGGTGGGGTAATTCACGACAGAGCCTTTGTGCTGCGTGCAGCAGCATGTATATTCCTGGCCCCATAGGGCCATCCACGAACCTGACGCGTTTAACAAACCGCATGCAAAGAACGTCTTGGGAATCTTTGCATTGCAATTGGGCGTGACTTTATATGCAAAATAACAGCGTGCGCAATGGTGGAAACACTAGAGCTGATATGCAAACCGATAGTCAGGTGACGTAACGTACATGTACACATTCATTGGATATGACTAGGTGCTAAAACTGCAGTAAGTACAGAAACCAGACATGCTGCGTCATGTATGCATGCAAATGCACACGCACTTCTGCTTGGAATTTTGCAAGCACAAATATAAGATTCCCAAGATGTCCTTTGCGGCTTGTTGGCGCCCTCTTTGGTGAACTGCTGCTGAGTCCAGTAACCCATGCGCGCTGAAATATGGCACCACTAAGGACGTCTTGGAACCAGGACTTGGGAACGACATGACAAGGGTTACCGGTTGGAATGATTGCAGAGTTGTGTTGATGTGTATTGATGTTTATTTACAGTGTTCAGATCATTGTTGACCTGTGACAGTCAGTTTGTAGGAGGTAGGCTTCTAGAGTAGTCACTTTGTTTTCTTTGCCGAGTGAATTGTCGTAGTTGCTGGTCGTCTTGCTTGTCTGTAGAGTTTACTTCGTAGAGTAGTCATATTTTGTCTTGTGGCATCTTGGAAGAGACAGCAATATCTGGCTCTGCACGATAACTGATGAACAAAATTGCAAATGTCAAGAGAATTTGCGTGATTACCAGTGAACGTTCCCATAGTGTTAATGGATTTTTACAGTAATAAAACAAAGTTAAGTGGACGAAATGTGCTGTGTTATAACTTTCTCTGATTGAGAACACAGCTGGTAAGCTGAGTCAGATTAATTTTCGGTATGTACAACTCTCTTTAGATTCCTGAAGATTCCCGCATGTTTGTTTCTGATAAAGAATTTCTGAAATCTCCAAACAGTGAAGTTAGGGAAACTGAATGAAAACTAGACTATAGAACAGTGCATTATGAGAGATGCAAAATTCAGCATGGTCTGTCTGTCATCTATTCAAATTTGTTGAATATCTTTTTTCATCCATTCTTTCAAGATACAAAATCTTATTTGATTTTTTCTTCTCTGAAGTTCTGATAAAATATACAGACTTGCAGCTTGACCTTAAAAAAAGGAGAAAATAGAGAAGACAGCACAACAATATGTTAGGCTGGCATTCCATTTTATTTGTTTTGTGTGTTGGAACATTCTACCTCTACTTCAAATATTTTCCTGTTTCTATTTTCTTCATGTTTATTTGTGTTTCTGAGTAGCACAATCGGAATTTATGTTGATTAAAAATATAGATAACCTATCAATTTAGAAAACACAATGGGCACAGTACTGCATAGGTGGGAACATTACTGTTATTATTATTTTCAACCATTTCTGGTAACAAAACCAAGGATTCCTCAAAAGCGCCCTAGGCACTGTAGCTCGCAAGCCTAAAGAAACCTGCAGAGAGAAGACAGAGAGAAGACAGTGAGAAGAAATTACAGTTTTAGAGGTGGGAGGAAAACCCCAGAAGAGCATTCTGGGAGAAACCTCATGGAATCGACGGGGACTGAAAACCCAATCCACATATTGGCCCAGGCGGGATTCAAACCTTGGTCACAGCGGTGAAGGCGAGGAAAGAACTGCTATGCTAACCTGATTCCCCATCTACACATTAAAGTAGTCTGCGAACAATTGTGAAATTGCTCAGTTAATCCAATCCCTGCCAGACCCATCATATTTTGATGGATTTTGCAGTACTGAGGAAGATGAAACCTAGCCACTAATATTCAAACTTGGCATGTGTGGCTCAATATCCTGTGTAAAGTTTGAGTAAATACTTTGTTCCTAAACACTGTCCAAGGAGTTAGTGTTAGGCTGCAATAGTTTTGAAATCATGGTGTGGTACTAAGATGGGTTCTGCCGTTAATGTTCTTATTGTCTTTTGCAAATTAGGCACTCAGCGTCGTTTACGCAAAGTGATTGACACTTCAGGCACCTATGTCCGAGGAGAGGAGAACCTTCAGGGCTGGCGCCCACGAGCTGACTCACTGCTGCTGGATCATCAGTGGGAACTAGAGAAACTGGGCCGACTTGAAGAGGTACGTGCAGCAACTTTCTTTGGACATTCATTAACAATAGAGGGCACTTTTTTCAACACTCACAAGAGCCCCAGTGGGAAAGACACACTGTGTGCGCTTACTGGTTTGCGCATGTACATGTGGCAAGAAGCGCGCATGTGTACAAAACCAAAGCACCTTCACCTCTTTGCATAAGCATCAGGCGCTGTTGGCAATGCATTCAAGAGTCTCTAACACAGTACATTGCCCCTCCCAAGTTTCTTTTTTGTAAATGTTGAGGGGTACTAATGCATAGAGTCTATAGATCTCCACCTCTTTGCATGAGCATCAGGCGCTGTTGGCAATGCATTCAAGAGTCTCTAACACAGTACATTGCCCCTCCCAAGTTTCTTTTTTGTAAATGTTGAGGGGTACTAATGCATAGATTCTATAGATCTCCACCTCTTTGCATGAGCATCAGGCGCTGTTGGCAATGCATTCAAGAGTCTCTAACAAGGTACATTGCCCCTCCCAAGTTTCTTTTTTGTAACTGTTGAGGGGTACTAATGCATGTAGTCTATAGATCTCCACCTCTTTGCATAAGCATCAGGTGCTGTTGGCAATGCATTCAAGAGTCGCTAACAGTATATTGCCCCTCCCGAGTTTCATATATGTAACTGTTGAGGGGTACTAATGCATGGAGTCTTTAGATCTTCACCTCTTTGCATGAGCATCAGGCGCTGTTAACAATGCATTCTAGAGTCTCTAACAGTACATTGCCCCTCCCGAGTTTCCTATTTGTAACTGTTGAGGGGTACTAATGCATGGAGTCTATAGATCTTCACCTCTTTGCATGAGCATCAGGCACTGTTGGCAATGCATTCAAGAGTCTCTAACAGTACATTGTCCCTCCCAAGTTTCATTTTGTAACAGTTGAGGGGTACTAATGCATGTAGTCTATAGACCTCCACCTCTTTGCATAAGCATCAGGTGCTGTTGGCAATGCATTCAAGAGTCTCTAACACAGTACATTGTCCCTCCCAAGTTTCATTTTGTAACAGTTGAGGGGTACTAATGCATGGAGTCTATAGATACCTCATAAAGGACTACATCACACTACAATGTGTCTCCAAGTGGCCACTTTTCAAGTTCCTTACATGAACATCTAGTAGCATCTAGTTTAAAATTTATTTAAAAGTCTTCTACACAGAAACAGTTTTTAATCGCCAAAGAAATTGTTAGTCTATAGATGATCATGAGCGTCCATCATAAATGTGAAATCTGCTATTAAAGTTCATCATGTACATGTACTTGTCACCAATTATATACTGTGGATGAAGTCGGATACCTCTTAAATGCATGCTGGTTTATTTTTAAAATCAGTTGATTAAATCCAGCATGTTTGGACATCAATACGAAGAAATATTGACTCCTGAACAAATAAGCACTTTTGATAGACGCAGGTCCAAGGGAACAATTTGTTGATTGCCAATTCTTATTGATGCAGGTTGAGAAGGCACGTCACAACCTCCTTCTCAGAGACAAAATCCAGCAGGAGCTGGTCAACACGCGTGGAGAGGGCATGCCGAAGTCTGAGACAGATAGCTCCCTGGACACGACCCTGTCCAATGACAGTATGGATAGAGAGCATGAGTTGCTAGACCGTTGCGTCAAGCTGATGATGCGCAACCAGCCGCCTGTCCTGTCACCACCGCCATTCAAAGTGAGTCTCACACAGACACTGTCTTTCACATTCCGCTTTGTGTTTTATTTGTAGGCCGCATCTGATTCAACATGACTACATGCGGCAATTCCCCATTTGGCAAGACTAAACAAAAAAATACCTTTGGTTCGGGTCTCAGAAAAAATAGTTGCATCGGTCAGCCGGCATGACATTTTATTTTATTTATTTGTTTTTTCCCCTTGAGACATATACATGTGGGGAACTAACATGTTTAAGTGGTCAACAGTCCAAGTGTTTGGGATGATTTTTGAGACATGTTTATCGTGAAAAGTTCATAAGTTCAACCATAGAGCACGGAACATGGGTTCAACCACTGTCGTGTCGACGCTCTTTACATTTCTCAGTGGTTCGTCAGGTTGGCCTCTTGTATATCAATTGAAAAATTGTGGACGACTTGCCCATGTTTTTTTACAAAGAATTCCTTGAATGTCATCTTCATTAGGACGCTTTGCTTACATGATTTCTCTTTCCAATTTCAAACAAAACTTTCATCAAAAATTTGGTTTCCGCGATGCATGGCGATGAAAGTTTGTGCGGCCGTGTAAGTCCCGGTCAACCAATAGAATTGCTTGTTGGGCACAGACATTGCCGTGGGGATTTCCCCTGACACGCAATACCGCGCTGCTGTAGCTACAGCTAGCACAGAACATGCATGAAGCACTCACACATACATACGGAGAAACTTGAGACACACTGATCAGACTTTTTGAACTGCGTTGCAATGATGAGTATGTGACAACGTACCTATTTTAAAAGTATACGTAAACTCACTGACGTTAGACCATGATATTTTCTTTTTGGATAATACCAGAACAACATAATCACTTGCAGATAAAAGACTCAATTGTATAGGCGATTTTGGCTAATTTTGATCTAAATAAACTAATAAAATTGTGTGGGGTCGCATTTTGTTGATTTTAAATGGCTTTCTTCTGCGGCTTTATGTACGTTTCCGGTCTTTATATAGAGATCGGTGGTGGCTGCACATTACATTGGGGTAATTCTAGTGTTATGTACATGTACTGTGCGTGACAGAGGTTTTCATAGCTCAGTGTACAAACCTGAAAATATGTTTTTCAATTCTTATACATCCGCCATCTAGTAATGGTCAAGGAGATTACAGAGATCCCAAAAATAGGATCTTTAAAAAAAAATGGAGCCCTCTTTCTCCCCCCCCCCAAAAAAAAAATTGTTCTGGATCTGCCCTTGACAGACATTTCCTTTTCTTTATAATACTGGTATGACCATTAACAGAGATTTGATAACTTAAATCCAAATCAACCAAAGTGGACTGTTTATGATGTTGCATAAATAATAAACAAAATATCAGCTTTTATAAAATTAACAGTGACGCTTCTAAACTGAAGTTGGTGTTACATATGATCAGTGGTGCAAATATACCAAGTGGGATTGCAAAAGTGTCGACAGTGGTCTCGCAAAACTATTCGCAATGTACATGTACTAAAATACACAAACTAATCGCAATGTACTAAAACAACCAAACTAATCCCAATGTACTAAAATAAACCTTACAAAAATGAAACTTTTGTTGTTGGTGTTAACAAACGTATACTGGTAGTGGTGATTCAAAAATACTACTAGTGTTATGAAACTAATGTTGGTGTTATAAAACGAGTAGTGTTACAAATCTAACAGTGGTGTTACAAGATTAAGAATGTTAATATAATAGTTGCATGCAACATAAAGTGACTAACATACTAACATTCTGTTGGTTTGGTGTTTTGCTAACATCCCTACCCCTTATCCAGACCTCTGAGCCACCCACTGTCACTCTCCAGAGACCTGAAGACGTTGATGAAAGCACTGCATCAGCCTCAGTGGCCACCGGCAGCCAAGGTCAGGAGGTCATGACCCCCGATGAACCCATGTCGTCCTCCAGCTCCATGCCAGACTTACAGCTGTTGGGTCCCGGCACGCGTAAGCTACCGATCCCGACGGATCTGCCGGGGATACAAGGCCACGACATGGCAGGCGCATCAGGGGATGCCAGCAAGATGAAGAAAGGTGGCAAGGGGATGTTTGTGCCGGATGTTGAAGAAATCCGAGTCAGGTATGTGTGGCTTCAGTACCTTCGTTGGCCTTAAGAAGGACCTCCCCTGTGACATGTTGACCAATTACAGCAGTGATTACAAGTCAGACATGCGCACTCGCGTATGACGTGTGTCTGACATGTGGCATTGAGAGGCACATATGTTGTTGCTTACGTGGGCAGTGTCCAGCAGTCATGGGCCTCATTGATTGGTCAATTCAAGCTAGTCCAGGCCATGTCTGAAACCTTTACCAAGAAGAGGCCTTGATTTTGTTATTTAACCCTTTCCTTACCATGGGCGACTTTTGTCCACAAGAAGAACCCCCCTGCTGGTTCCCATGGGCGACTTTAGTCGACCAGGAAACCACACACAGAACACCCTCAACACAGATATATTCACTACTTTTCAGAAAGGCGGCATGTTGATATTTTTGGCCGCCCATACATCAACCATGTACCAGCTGAAAGAGTGTTTTCGGATCGTTCTAATGGTGTAGTTTATTCATAGTGTTGCCATTACAAAAAAATGAGAAAAGTGCTTCAGAAGTATCCACGCACAAATTGAGGTATGGAGTGCCATTTGGTCATGTGGTGAAATGGCCTGCAGTTTGATAAATGGAACCAGATGAACAAACAGGCATAACTTTCTTATATTTACACATATGGACTTCATTTTTACATCACATACAAGAGTAAGGTTCAAGGAACAAACTTTACACACAACACCTATGATTTAAATCACTCCTTGGCAGTGAAAATCTGGGTTGAAAAAAGTGAGTTTTGGACTTGTGGTCATTTTGTTCACGCTCTAGTGATTTCTGCATGACTGAGCAAACAATTTGGTCCTGGGGAGAGCCAAGTCAATAAACAATGTGGTAATGAAAGGGTTAACCCCTTGTGTCAGGTGCTACCTTACTTGTAAATTCCTTGATCTTTTTTTTAGTCCTGATGTGTCAAGAAGCGGCTTTCTTAACTTCCTTGATTGTGTTAATCCTCATGTGTCAGGGAGGGGCTACCTTACATTCCTTTATGTGGTTTTCCCCCCAGTCCTGTTGTGTCAAGGCGAGGCTACCTTAACTTCCTTGAGGAGAAGACAGCAGGGTGGGTCATGCGTTATGTCATTGTGCGTCGTCCGTATGTCTTCATCTACGACAACGACAAAGACCCCATTGAGAGAAGTTTGATCAACTTAGCCACAGCGCAGATAGAATACAGCGAAGACCAGCAAGCAATGCTCAGGGTAGGTTAGGGGTTAAACTGCTGCCTTGTTCTTTGTAACATCAAATTTGGAAAATTAATGAATTGTTAAAGTTTGCATCCTTCCAAACTCTACGATTACTCTTAAAATGATATTGAGCACAATGGAACAGCGATATTATACCAAAAGAAAAGTATCCCATCGGAAAGTAGGAAGTCAGTTACACAGTCTACTTTTGACATCAAGGTTGAAACATAAGTAGACTCTTAGAATGAATTTGGAAAAGCAGAGGCAAAACGTTTTGTATGATTTGATGTGATAAATCCAGTGCCATGCTCATGGAAATGTACTACTACATGTACATGTATGAATGATCACATTTGTCCTGTCTCTCTTTGGAACTCCCTTCTTGAGTTGAGTCAAGCTCAAGGCCCCTACTCCTAAACACTCAAGACTGGTATTTTGTTCTCTTTGATTCACAGACGCCAAACACTTTCTCAGTCATCACCAAATACCGTGGCTTCCTCCTGCAAACCATCGGCGATAAGGATGTCTTTGATTGGCTGTATGCCTTCAACCCACTCCTGGCTGGTTCAATCAGATCCAAGCTCTCTCGCCGTCTAGCTACCCAGCTCAAGGTGTAAGCAAGACTATCTGTGATTGGCTGCTGTAACTGAGAGCAAGCCTCGGCTGGTCCAATCAGATCTCAGCGGTGTTGTTGTTAAACCCAGCTTTGAAAGAACGTTCTTGATTGGTTGTTTGCACTTGGCCTACTTCTGGCTGGACCAATCTAATCAAAGCTCTCTTGTCATCTAGCAGTCAAGCTCCGGTTCCTTCAAGTCTGGTAAACTGCAACTCAGAATATTGCCAAAGTTAGAATCATAGTATAACTATAACTTGCACATGTTCCAATCCCTAGACAACTCATGTTCAAATACTGTATATTAATATCCTGCAAGTTGTCTTAACGTAAAAATAGTCCGGTCAAATGTAAATAATCGTTCAGTGTTTAGTGTTTTAATTAATAGTTTCAGCAAAGTAAATGTGAAACTTGACCAAAATGTTTGTCATGTGGTGATCTAGATATCGACAAATGAATTAGTGACGTTAAAGGTTCAGGTTCAACCCCAAGTGCAGGTATCCGTGAGGCTAGAAAGTTGCCTTCAAACTGAAAGGGAATTATCTCATTAGTTTTTTTTATTGAATTATTTAAGTAAACCTGCCAAATTGATTCAACATCATGTTTTAAGATTTGCCATTTTTTACGGACACTTTTAGCTCCTCATTCCTCCATTTTTAATTTATTCATCCACCCTTTTATTTTATCCACCTCCTCACAGTTTTGTTGAAGAAATTATTTCAATGCAGGGTTGGTTTTCAAAAAAACTAGTGGCAGGGTCGTTACAAGGGTCCATACTTCAGGGTATACGCGCAATTGCGTAGTTCAGTGTTCCAAACGATTGTTTTCCTGGGTTTTTGTTCGGATTGCATGTGAATTGAATGAGGTGGTGTCATAGTTCAAGAACTTTTAATCTAGCTGTAGGAATCTGTCAGATTCAGTCCACTTCACTCTTCCATGTGAAATCAGTAAGCATCAAACCGTCAGATTATTTTGGTTCAAAGCTACAGGTACCACTATTGTTTGGTTCAGTTTGATTGGATGGTCATGCAGTTCTAGGATTCTGTTGGATTAAGGTCTTTGTGCTTTATTCTTTGTTTCTGTTGGATTTGGTTCAGTTGGATTCAGCTTGCTCTGCACCTGTTAGATTCTAATTGCCTCGGGATTTACTGATGGATCTCTAATGGATTTCTGTTGGATTAAGTACCGGTAGGATTTCTGTTGGATTATGTAGGATTTCTGTTGGATTAAAGTAGGGTTTACACTTGTTGATGGGTTCTGTTGGAATATATGTGCTTTAATATGATTTGATTTTGATGGAATGAGCAGGTTTTTGGATTATGAAGGATTCAATCAGGGAACTTGCACTGTAGCCAAAGAGAACCTGATGTTTGGTTTAGTTAGTTTCATGTATAAATTACCACTTTTAGAATATGTTCGTGCATACTGTTAGCTTGGAAAACCCCAACATACTAGCCTGACTGTGCTGTATTTGTCCAGTGGAAATGTCCTAGTAAATGTACCTATATTACGTGTAGATATAGAACTGTGTGGGATAAATGTAGGGAAACTATATTCAAGTCTTTCACTGATGGAATTCTGTGCTGATGGGACAGATTGTGCAGATTGTGATTGGAGAGTGTCATTGAGAGTCCTGTTTTCTCTTTTCATTGTTGGGTCATTTCATTCTTTGTTTGATGTATGTAATGCTGACTGAACCCTATAGTCACAGACATATATATACAGAAAGATGGGTGATTTTATTTTTCCCCAATTTTTTTTGGAAAGGGGGGGGGGTTGTGATGGTGGATTTTCTGTGATATAATATGGATTGCTGTTTTGTGTTTAATCTTTTTGATTCTACTGGAAAGTAACAAATGAAAACCAAAGGTCGGTACAATTTGGAATTTTCTGAAGGTTTTCTTTCTTTTTAAGTTTGTTGTTTTAAAATTTAAGGCTACTTTGTATGCTTTCGAAGCAGTGAATCACAATTATAACTATGTGTCCTCTCTGTCACACAGATTTCTGCAATTGTAAAAAAAAAAAAAAAAAAAAAAAAAACATTTAAGGAATAATTTGACCTGTTAAATGCTGTGGATGTATTGAATGTTACGATAAAATGGTCAGTATTGTTCAAGTCAAACAGAACTTTATCATGCGTTACATAAATGAATATGCAGTTGAGGAGGAACACAGACTTTAAAAAATGCAGTGTACATAGTGCGTATCGTACTTACGTCAAGTGACATCATGAGTAGGTGTAGTATGTACTTGTAAATATCACATAGGAAATGGTAAAATAATGGAGAATTAATGGCAGTTTTTGTTGTGATCTATATATATGAGTATTTTTATGCAAATTGGCTTGCCATATATAAAAACAACTTGACTGAGCAAAAGTGTGACGGCAAATCTAAGCTGTAGCAGTTTCATAGATGTAGAAAATAGAATTGTAGTTACTTTAAAGATGATTGTAAGCCAACAAAGCTAAACAAAGGCCTTGTACTGTGTACGTGAGGAAAATTGAACATCACACAACTTACATTTCACTAAAAATTGAAGGGAACTAAAAGTTTGGAAGAAAACATTTTACAAACGGCTGTTTATAATGTAGGATTGATAATTACAGACGAGCACAAGGTTAGGAACAGAAAATGAAAAGGGGGGGGGTTGAAATGGTTTACAAATAGGAACGGTAGCCAAGTTCTGAATGTGGCTTTGATTCCTAACTCAAGCTCAATTTCCGTGTGCTTTGTTGTTCCTTCTAGTGCAGTAGTGCCTTTAGAATGTTTAGATGTTTTAGCTTATAGCCTGATAAGTACGTATAGAATATTTACAATCAAATCACATCACTTTGTCTTTCTGCAAGTTTCACTGATTGTTCCATTTCCCTTTAATATTTTGCATTGTACATCTTTTTTTATTTTATGAAGAAAAAAAATAATTGTACAAAGAATTTGTTAATGATTTTCAATTGCCACGCACACTGACTGTTTTGTTCTGGGGAGCCTTTTTTGATTAATTTTACAAACTGTATTATATGTTATGAACCAAATAAGTTATTTCTTTTTGGATAATGTTGCCTGATTCAACTAACACTGCTGCCACGTACTTGATTTTTTTTTTTAAATGCAGCGTTTGTAAGTATTATTGCAAGCAGTAGCAATTTATACGTAAAAGCAATGAAAGTGACAAATATATCGGTGCAATGCTCATCTGTTTAAATATTTAAATTAAAAATCTAGGGTATGTAGCAAATGTCATTACTTAAATACTGGAATGTAACAGTTGTGTGTCTCACGTTTTAAAAGTAAAAATTTTATTTTCTTACTGTAGTATTAATTAATGTATAGGACTATGTAACAATGATGTAGTGAATGACATTTGTGTATGAGCCATGCTGGATTCATTTTAAAAAAGCAAATGTAAGGCTATCATATAAAATAATGTAAGGTGTGTTGGCAATATGAACCAATTAACAAGGAACATTGGAGAGGGAATAATGAATTGCCCTAATTGTATGCTACAGAACTTTACATTTTGCAAGAATTCAAGAAAAAAATACAAGAATCAGCAAAACAAATGACACAAAGTATGACACATATGAATACAACTCTTTGTTTAACTGAAACCGGGAATTATGTCATGTTTTGACCAACTATGTTCTTGCCATGCTTGGCGTTACCGCCCTATTAGAAATTAATTAAGGTTTTTGGTCAGCTAAATTGCATTAAGACTAATGAACACACAATGTGTCAATGTTACGTACACCTCATCCAGCTGTATGTGCTTCAGTGCAGTCTAAACACAATGCTTAGCTAGCAAGATTCATCTTAGGTAATCGTCCAGAGTCAGTCATGTGAAACTATTATGTCATTATGGGTAGATTACATGTATGTCTGTTAACCTCTAGTGAAGAATCTCACATTTTAGTCAGCATAAATGTAGTCGGAACGAATTCGAAAAGAAGTCTTGTAAAAGTAATATGGAATAACTGGAAAACCAGTAGACCCAGCTAAAAACCACCAAACCAATGTGACTCAAAGACAACGAAGTGTTTTTTTTCTTTTTTAAGAAATTAGGTGTCACATATACCATCGAAAGATGCTGCCGACTTATTGGACAACAACTAATCTAGTCTGGTTCCCTAGACCTGACAATTATTCCCGACGCTCACGTCTAAATTGTACGTCAGGTCAACCTCGTCCCCAGGGTGTCGAGCAGTACGTGCCCATCACTACCTGCTCTCATCTCTCACCCTGGTATTGGATCATTTGCATGTGCAAGATTTTTGAACACGTATGCAAATGAGGAACAGTCTGGTGCCTGGATATACGTTACATTAGCGTTTGTTTTTGTATGCGGTGTCTGGGGTAAAAACAGAGTCAATTTGTCGCAGCGCGAGCATGGCGTGAGTTACGAAAACACGATTTTTAAAATTAAACTGTTATGATCTAATCAGGTATAGACCTTTCTACGCTTGGTTGGCAAACTGCATTTTTGCCAACCACGGGTTGCAAAACTATGGAAGGTCCAACACTGTAAAAATGAAGAAGAGTTATTACAGATAACCGAAATATTATTTGATTGTTGGAAATACAACATTGTCAACAAAGCTACAACATAATTCCTAAACATGCCTTTTTACTTTGTATTGAGGGCGTTGGGGGAATATTTTGGGTAAAACATGTTGCCAACCACGGCTTCAATATATGCGCTTGCGGCAGCCCATATAAAATGGCGCCAATGTTTACAAACAAAAGAAAGGTCTATAGTCAGAATCTTTTGGTCTGGGAACCAGACTACAACTAAACAAAAACGCCTCTTGTGCTACATCTATCTGAGAGAGTGAATGAATAAAAATTTAAAAAAAAAAAATGCAGCTTTTTTTTTCAGGCCAGTCTCAAATTACCGTGCATTTCCATGATCAGGATGTTTCTAGGGATTGCAATGGTAAGATGCCATATGAAGCTTGTTTTGTGTTGACTATTTTGTATCATGCTGATTTTTCTTGTTTAGGGCAACCTTACTCAAGGTTTTTTTTGCAATACACACCTTGTTATCAGTTTTATATAATTTAACACTTTTGTAAAACATTTACTAACATTCAATTTAATTATGTATTGTTTTTATGCACTGCCAATTTTACGTCTGCAAGTCATGCGAGCATTGTGTTGGCATTGGTATTTGGTTTACTAAAAATAGTTATTATGTTTTAAAATTAACAAACTTATCAAACTATTGGCACATTCAGTTACTTGGAAATTTAAACTCCCTTTCCCTTCACTAGTTTGCCAGTTTATTTATTGTTTAATCTTCTTTTGTCTCAGCTTGATAGCAGAAGGAAACTGTGTAATTACGTTTCCTGATACAGCTTCACGAACATTCTGCTCAGAAGTTGGCAAGCGTAAGCTGGTGTGTCTTGCAACAATGGACATTAACAGATGTTTAATTTACAAAACTGTTATTTTGCAAATACGAAACATTTTTGAAGAGAAAGTAACCAGTCCACCTTACTGTATACTACGTCATTATGTCCTTGCTGACTGTGTGAATAATTACTTAAAATGCATGATGTGTGCGCTCACAAATAGAAGTCAAACAGCTAATGCCAGGGGTCATGTACATGCAAAGAAAATAAACTAATGTATAAATACATCTCCAGCTTGTTTTGACACCTATTTCTCTGGTTCTTTATATTTATCCAAATAATGTCGAAACTAGCCAGCACATGAGTATTGAAATGTATTGATCATGCATCCTGAAGACAGTGTTTCTGAGTTGTTTCAGCCTAGCCCCATAAATGTGGCCTATTTACTGGACTGCCTCCGTAAACATAGGCCACACATCCACATGTACAAAAACGTGTCGATTTTGCCAAATTTTGATTTTCACATTATCGCTACATCAGCGGGGAAAAAAATTCAGTCTGTGTGGAAGCATTGAGCGTCTGGCCGTACTACAGAGCTTGCGATAGTACTGTACGGCCAGACGCAGTCGGGCTATTGAAAACGGAGACCGTTTGGCTTTAAAAACGGTGGTATTGTGTTAATGTAGCCAAGGATCAACTCCCTGGTTTTTGGGCTTCCATCTGAGGGCTGGCTTGATAAAATTACGGTTAAAAAATGGGTCCTATTTGCCTGAGAATGTGGAAGGATGCCACTTGTAAAACGGCTACATGCAGGCTTGGGAACTCGATCACTTTTCGGGAGGTGATTTTATTTGGTGTGAATATTTAAAAATAATCGGCTAGCCTACCCAAAATTGAAAAGAACTGAAAAGATGAAGTGCAAGACAATTATTTAATTTTTGTTTGAGAAACCCCAGTGATTTCGGCTTGCGTGTTATTTGGCCCTGAACTTTGTTGATTTTACACTGTTTTCAATGGGGCTTGAATTGGTTCAGTGCACCCTTATTATGAGCGGACCCCGAATGGTTACCACGATTTGTGTAGCGCGCCCTCTTTTCACAAACAATTGAAGTTGACGGTTTGACGTGACACATTGCAATTTTTGTGTAGCGGGGATCAGGCAGGATTTTCTACTTCTGCCCGGAGGATCCTCGGCGAGGATTTCAATCGTATTTACTGAAGTATTGCAATGTTAGCGATCTTCTGCACCATCTTGGCGAGTGGAAAGTATTATAAAACTACAACAAGCCTACAAATCATCTCTCGAATGGATTGACTCCAGGAACGCGTGCCGCAATCTGCACTTGAAAACTTCAACCGTTCACCGCGCCTTTTCACGCGCGGCGGACTAAAACCAGTCGACGTGAGATTGACGAACTTTGTCAACATGAGTTGCTTGCGGCTCACTTGGTCTTGTCTGAGCTGCAAAGACTTGGTGGTGCAGTTATGACTTTTGTGAGTTCATCTTGTGACAATTTGGGAGTTTTGTGCTGGAGCTCAGCAGTCTGCAAGCCAACATTCAACAACACCGTCATGGTGAGTGACCATTGCTCTGTTACTAGCCCCACTAGTGTGGCCGCGGTATGCTGCGCTGAACCTCTGAGCGCAGCAGACCGCGGCCACACTAGTGGGGCTACTCTGTTACTAGCGTTTGTGTAGTTTCGGACCCCATTCCTATATTGATTTACCTTGATACCACACACCTCCTCCATCAGATCCATATGGTCTGTCTGGTGTTTGGAAAGGATCAGAAGGCTTTTTTAAGCCCATTGATAACCCATGTATTGTCCAATCTTTAATTTGAAACCCAGTAGAGTGGTGCTGTTTACTGCTTCTTTTGAGGGAGGTTATTCCAGTCCTCTATTACCCTCTGCGAGAATAAGAATTTTCTTGAGTTTAGCCTGAAGGGTTGTTTCTTGAGTTTCATGTTGTGTCCCCTTGTTCTTGATTCTGTGCTTGGCTCAAAGAATACGTCTGCATTAACCCTGTCAATTCCTTTCATTATCCTGAATGTTTTGATTAGATCGGCTCTTCGTCTTCTATCTTCCAATGACATTTGATGCATTCGGTTAAGCCTTTCTTGGTAATCTCTATTTTGGAGCCCTCCCACCATTTTTGTGGCCCTCCGCTGAACTTTTTCAAGCACGTCCTTGTCTTTCTGTAAGTGCGGACTCCAAACTTCCATGCAATAGTCCAGGTGTGGTCTTACCAAGGCTTTATAGCTTCCCCATGATTTTTTATCCCTGTATTGGATGTTTCGTCGAATCATTCCCAGAATTTGTCTAGCTTTTTTCGATGCTTCGGCACATTGTTTACTGACTTTGAGTGAACTCTGTACACAAACTCCCAAGTCTTTTTCTTCTGATACATGTTGTAGTTCCTCATCTGCCAGTTTGTAGTCTTCCTTTGTGTTGTTGAAGCCCAGGTGTATTACTCCACATTTCTTGACATTGAATTTCATTAACCATTTTGATGCCCATCCATGTAAATTATCCATATCACCTTGCAGTACTTCCCTGTCCGACGGTGATGAAATTCCCCTTACCACTTTTGTGTCATCTGCAAACTTACTAATTTTGACTCCACCACGTCGTCTAGGTTATTCATGTATATCAAGAAGCAGATTGGTCCCAAAACTGATTCTTGGATAACAGAGCTTGTTACGTCTCCCCACATCGATTCTGTTCCCTGGACTACGACTCGTTGTTTTCTATCTTTCAGCCATGCTTCAATCCATGTAATTAAGTTCCCTGTTATGTGCTTGCATCTTTGCCAGTAATCTTTTGTGTATTAAGATTACACTCACCAAAAACAGCTGACTAAAAGTAAAAGGCACTCAAAAGTGATATTCTGATATTTTTTTCACATCTGAACAGCTGGTAAAGACGACTTCTTCAATATTTGCACTTGCAGTTTTAAGTTTGTGTGCAGAGGGCAGGACTTTGATTTGTAAGGAAAATTATGGGGTAAAAGACAAAACGACAAACTAAAATTGTTTTGAGT